AATAAAAGTGGTAAAAGAGACATGGAAAGTTTTATTTCTCATTTTTCATGATTATCTCCAACCACTTATATGAGGTGGGCGAGAGAAGGAAAGTGAGGGCAAGAGAAGGAAAGTGAGGGCGAGCGACGGCGAATGAGGGTGGGTGAACGAAGGAGAATGGGTGTAGGTGAACGAAGGCGAATGAGGGCGATTGTGGGCGAGCGAAGGTGAGCCAGAACGAACATATGTGATCGGAGTGGAGCGTGGGCGAGCATAGGCAAGCGAAGGCGAACAGCGGCGAGCATGGGCAAGTGGAGGCGAGAGAAGGAAAAAATGGCGAGCGGAATGGTCCGTGGACAACGGTGGGCGAGTACACGTGAGCGTGGGCGATTGAGAGCGAACATAGGTGAACATAGGAGAGCGTGAACGAGCGGAATCGAGCAGAGGCAAACATAGACAAGTGGGCGACCGAAGGCTAACGTGGGCGAGCAAAAACGAGCGTAGGCAAGCGTGTATGAACAGGGTGAGCGTGATCGAGCGAAGGCGAATGAGGGAGAACGTGGGCGAACATGGGCTAGCGGGGGCGAGCGTGGGCAAATGAGAACGAGCATATGCGAACATGGAAGAGCGTGGGCGAGCGAAGAAGAGAGTGGGCGAGTGGAGGCGAGTAAAGAGGAGCGATAGCGAACCTGGACGAGCGGAGGTGAACATGGACAAGCGGAGGCGAGCGAATATGAGCGTGGGCGAGCGAAGACAAACATGGGCGAGCGAAGACAAGCATGGGCGAGCAAAGACGAGAGTGGGCGCACATGGACGAGCGAATGCGAGCTTTAATTAGCGTGTGCGAGCGGTGGCGAATGAGGGCGAGCGCAGGCGAACTTAGACTAGCGAAGACGAGAGTAGACAACATGAATTTTCTTTTACAAAAAGTTGAAAAAAATACAACAGAATCAGCGCACAGTTATCTAGGGTTGGAGTTCTAGGGTATCCAAAAAGAAAACAAATAAATTATTAATAGAATCACAGATTTATTTTACAAACAGTTCCATTACAATAAATTAAAATAAACAAAGGCAGTGTGAACTGTAAATACATCAGTCCATTTTTTTTCCTAAAGTCCTTAAACGGTAGAAACCTAACAGATAACTAAATATACTACAAATACAATTTCTGGTAGTAAAAAGTTGTTTCCAGTCATGAAGAGTATCTACACTGGATTAATTAAAATTTGTAGTGGTACAAAATATTTCATCACATAATTGACCATTTTGGTTTTCAAAATATTCACATCAAAAGTGAAATTTCAGTTTAGATCTATAAATTTATTTTATTTACATAAATTCCATATGAAACAGTTCAGAATTAACAATTTGAATATAGAATTACTCCAACTAATTTTTTTTGTTAAGGGCTAATCTTGAGCAGCTGAACTTATTAAATCAAAATATATAAAAGACAATATATTTTTAACAGTTCTCGTAACAAATTTAATACAAAAAAGTTTATGTTAATTTTTCAGTATATAATTAACGATTTATTCTAGTACTGCCTTAATTACAATTTTTTTCAGTTTCGTAAACGGACGTTTTTTAAAACAAAATTGATATACGATTTTGTTCATAAAAATATGGTTTCAACTACTTATTGGTTTGAAATGAAAAAAAGCACTTTAAGTAAATGAAATGGTTGTTATCCATTGTAAAGAATGAATTATGTGAAATATTTTGTCTTCACCATAACATTATTTCAGCTTATGTTGGAACACAATTTTCTACTTTACAAATTACAGAAAACTAAGAAAATAAGATTAAGCGTCTTAGAAGTAAAAATGTCCATCAAGTTGAAATAATCACAAAGTTACTGGGTTGGTGTTCATTATTCAACAAAATAGTCACAAATATCTTTTGACTCCATAAACTGATCCCTATCAGAGAGAAACTTCAAAAATGAATCCAATCTCAACAATCGTGAAGCTTTTATCACCAAAATGTCACTTTGCTGTAGTCTTATATCTCATAAGTTTGCTTTATTCAAAAGATATTTATTTATGAAATTGAACACATTCATTTTCTGAATTGTTAGATGCCCAAATAATATTATGGAACAAAGAATATTCGTTTGTTTCATGTCGTTTTGGTGTTATCTCGTAAATTTGGTTGTTGCAATGTTTTTTATTTTTTTTCAATATGTATCTAATATGTCTAATGGTTTTTAACGACGAAGAAACTACTTTTCGAAAAAATTTATCCTGTTAAAAAAGCAACCTCTCTTCAGAAGACTTAATGGATCACTAAACTAGTTAACCAAAAAATATAAGCTTTCATGGCCAAAGTCAATGAAGCAATGGACGTACTACAGGGGTTGGGATCCACTATTCAACAATTTATAGGGAGGCATCATGAATTAAAAAATACAGCCAGAAAGAATGGTGAATTAACATAAATACAGTCTGGCTACCTGCACTCAACAGTACACGATTCGGGCCTATTAACTCAACCAATAGGAATGAACCCACATCCAGTACCGATAAAATAAAACTGGGGACACAAACTCCGAACAATATATAGAATGTTCTTTGAGGTCAACTAGAGTACTGAATCAATAGATGTAGACGAAACTCAAGTATAAAATCCTACAAACCATGGCAAACAACCCAGATATTAGCTTTGACACAATTTAATAGAAAATGAAGACATTCTCAGTTTCAAAATTGGAAACTTCTTTATTTCTGTTTCAAACATTGTTATTAGAAATTTGAAGGAATATTTAATTGAAGTGAAAAATGTATATGTTAAAAATTTGAAGCTTGAAAAGAGCTTGTTTGAATACTTATGTCTGGAATTAAAAACGCTGTTATAACCCTCAAATTTAATTTTGAAAATGTCCTGATTTTTTGTTGAAACCCCATTTTCCAATGAGGACATATCAATAAATATTTCCGATGAGGAATCAGTTCAGTAGAATAAAAATGAAATGAACACTTCTACACCAACCGTTCATTATGTTTATGGGGTGCTCAGATGCTTAATTACATCTGCAATATTGAGTGTAGGTGACGTTGCTATTAGATACGGTGAAATTCGCTAATTTATACACACAAAAAGCAAAAAGCCTCAGGAGTTGTATACAGAGTGTTCAAGATACAAAACAGTACTTTCTGAAGGGATCCTCTTCATTGTTTTAGCCTAGAAAAAATTGTGCATGTTTTCAACAATTCTGATTTAAACATACCAAAATGTTACAGAGTGACATATCCCAAAATGAAGGTGGACCCTTCTGAAAGATTTTGTACTAATAGAACATACATTGTCCTAAAATTTAATTTTTTGAAAGAAAAAAAATAAAATGAAATTCTAGTGAACCTTGAACTTGTCTCAATTTGGCACTGTTTTCAAGATAGGGCAACTTGAATAGGACACAGAAAAAATTATCGTCAAAGGTGATATGCACTTATATAAGAAATATATCTAGCATCTTGATTCATCTATGGTGAAGAAGTTGCTTGTTGAAAATGGCGTATACAGGGTATGTGTTACAGTGTGTATAAAAATACCCAAATTGGAAAAGCACATACACTCCTCACAGATCGAGCAAAGAAGCTGATGATAGCGTCTTCAGGGAAATGGTTCGAAGACATGAAAAAGTCATTACTTACTAAAATCTGCAAAATATTATATAGAAACAGAAAATATATATATGTTTTTTGTGATTTGTCTTCAGCCATAACTGTAAAAACCGTTATCAAAAGCCAAACAGCTCGGATAATGGGTAAATATTTATTCCAGTGAGAATTTTTCAAACCCCCTGTATGAGTGTTGAGCACAAATGTTTTGAATTGCATCGATAAAAAATGATGTGATGGATTAGTTACAAGGAATGACAATTATATACAATATATTTTCTAGCTTTCAAAAGTAGTATAAAGAGTAACAATATTTTCTAATTGGGAAAGTTTAAAAATATTTACAAATACTTCCTATAGAATTCAGTTAATGATTCAAGTCTTGTAGAATTAACAATAAATTACGAAAATTTGATAATATTAGGTAGATTAAAATATCTCATAATCAAAGAGATCAAATTAAATGCCTACATTTGGTCCAGATATTAAAAAATAGCTAAAATAAAAAACAGCTTGGCAAAATTCCATGTCAAAAGATGGCTCAAGTGTATTCAGTTGTAACTAAAATGAGAAAAGAAAACTGTTGTTTTTTGAAGAAACTGTTTTTTCTCATATTAAGCGTACTGTTTACAAAAAATGATTCAGTTTTGTATTTTGCATTTGAACAATTGAACCGTTGATTGATAATATTGAATTTCTGTATACCCAAACAATTTGCAATTTCTGTAAAAATATGTTCCTGCATTATACGTTGCATTAGAAAATAATCGTTTTCTATATTCCATAGTCAATAAATAAAATACAACACTGGACAAGTCAATACTGATTATTACAAGGTAAATACTCAGTTTCAGAATATTATTTTCAGGTTCAAACTCATTTTTCCTCATTATTATTGAATTAATTTAGACCCCTAATATATCTACTGTCATTCCATAAAATAAAGGTGATATTTTCCAAAAAAAAATGTTTGCGCTGGGATTACTTTCATAAATATTTATGTAATTTGATAAGAACCAAAAAGTGCAAGAAAGCAAATATACCTAAAATATTAGGATAAAAATAATGATAGCAAATATAGTAAATAGTGTATTCATTTCTTTGCTTTATGAACAATGAGAATTCTAGATATTCAATTCGAGATAACTAACTTTTATCATTTATTTTAATTGCAGGGAAGTTAGGTTTTCGACTGAAAATCAGCTTAATAGTGAGAGTGATTTTTTAAATCGATTTATAAAAATTACATCAGTTGTAGAACAGCCGATAGATAATTCATCAAAGGTTGAGGTATTTCAACCGAAACTACAAACAGTAAAAGAAAAATAAATAACAAATTGAGATAATATAGTGGAAAACTAGGTATCACCTGAAATAACCATAAGTAAAGAATCTATTATAAATCTACAAAACATATTTGATTTTTTCCAATTCCGAAGGCGGAGGAAGATTTTGGCTTCAGGAACTTTGAGATAAGAATCAACTGAATCCCTAGCTCTCGTTTTATAGTCTAAACTATCAAATACGAAAAGTTACGTAAAAACAGATAATGTTTCTTGATGAAAAGTAAATTAAACAAATAATTAGGGCAATAATGCATCTATGAACTTCTACAACTTCACAAATATGCCAATTAGATAAAAATCCATTGATAGGATGAGTGTGATATGTATATGGAATGAGATAATTAGGAGAAGTTGAAAGAAAAAAAATTTATGTGGAGAGAACACATAAAATCATTCAATGATAAAATAAGTAATAGGATATTGAGAGAATAATTTATTTGAATCAATGAGTACAAATTCTCATAGCAGTAGGAAGAAAAACGAAAAAGATAAAACGTTTTTCAAGGAATGTAGCTGAAGATAACTAACCTGGCTATTGAACACTAACTGTAATGTGTAGGAATAAAAATTAAACTAGGAAGAAATAGAAACTAGTTATGATCATATATTTTTAGCCATGCAACAATCAGGATGGTTAAAAGTTGAGAAAGTTGTTATCTAATCATTGCTATTTCTTAAGACATATTATAATTATTATTTGAAGTAAATTATGAAAATTATCTTACTTTTAAAATTCTCTACTAAGAAGTAATGATCAATTAGCAAAAATATCAATACTTTATAGTTTAGCAGTCAATAAAAACAGCCCAGTTCATTTCTGATAATGTGCAACATTTATAAATCATAATTACTCCAGAAAAATGGCAATTGGTTATCTAAGGTAATAGTAAAAGTTACCTCACCAGTAAATTTTACTTCAAAAACTGATGTTTCACTTCATCAAATATAAATAGTCACACTACAATTCATACTGTTATAATATACTTACTGAATATAATATATCCTGCCTGTCAAATTATTATCCGTCTTTTTGTTGTTTTTATGAGTGACAGTGATTGGATTTTTTATATGAACTAGCAGTTACTAACAATCGATGTTCAGTGTAAATGAACTGAAATTTATATGGTGGAATTGGTTGATACTTTCAAACATATTAAAAAAACACTGTGATATTTCAACCAGAAAAAGTGCAAATTGATCATTTAGAGTAATTTATAAAAGTTATCCTCATGAGTATTTATTACTTCTTCAAATCTCACTTTTGAACTTGCTCAAGGCCAATGAAAGTGAATTAAAATTCTTTGTAAAATAAAATACAAATATAATATATAAAAAGAACATTTCCCGAGTATTCAAATACCAATTTTTTTTTGCCTCCCTTATTAAAACTTTAGCAACGATTATTATTAAAATTTAGATACAAGAAATTGAAAATTCATAACTTGAGGTTATGTTATATATGTAATTTAGCAACTTAATATGGTAATCAGCACGTCTGCTACTCATTTCGGAATGTAAACTCTTTAAAGGGCATTTTTACTAAGATTCAATGAAAATATTATTTTTACAGTAAATTTTGAGAACAATGTATTTTTTCATGTTCGTCTAATCAGGTATGACCTGCCCACTATTTTTCACACAACGAATGGAACAGATATCAATTATTATTATATGGATTCCTGCCAAGCTGCCGAAACGCGTAATCATAATATATACATCGAATAACACTATCGATAAAAATTAAATAAGTAGATCACATTCGCAGAAAGAAATTCAGCGCGATATTATCAAATTTTCAATTTACAGCTATGACACATTTTATTATACAAAAGACGAGAAGCCAGGCAGCGGGGCCCTCGATCTCGCCATATTGTTCATTATTATTTGCCCGCCGTTCAAACTCACGACGGCACTGCCCTCTGGTTCGGAATCCGTGTAACTTGAATAGTTCCTAACCGGTTTTTGTCGTTTCCACGACTGCCGCAAGGTGTCGTTGACGTTGGCGTAGTGGTTGACGAAGGAGTGGGGGTCCGAACGGACGCTTTCGTTTTCGCTTTCGGAACCCTGGAAAACAAAATGAAACAATATTGAAGAATTTTAGTTTCTCTGGAACCATTTATTTGGAAAGACAGGCAATATAACTGCTTTTTATTTCAGGCTAGACTGAATACGATTCAGTTGACGATTTCTTTGAATTTGAGTCAATATTTACATCTGTTTTTATCAAATTACAATAATAATTGTATTGAATTTCAGTACATTTGGCTCTCTTTTGAATGTGTAATAACCACCCGGTATATTTTTGTTGATTTCCCATTTGAATGTCGCATTAGTAATGTGTATAATCTTCCAAAGAACATAAATTAACGAATAATTATACTTGAACACTATCAACATTAATATTGAATATAATTAGATAAGAATCATTCAAAAAATGTTATTATTAAAAAAAGAAACAATATTTTTAGAAAAGTCATTGGTTCAATATATATATTTTTTAGACCATTTTTGAATTTAGTCACCGAGGTAGTTAATAATAATAAGAACAAAGTTGTTGCAACAAATATGCTTGCCGTTCCAATCTTACTCTACTCGTTTGGAGTAGTGAAGTGGGCTCGGGAGGAGCTGTATCAACTCGACGTAAAGACCCGAAAAATGATGCATCTCTTTAGGAGTTTGCATCCCAATTCGTAAGTTCCACGGTTGTACATCCCCCGACAACAGTGAGGCCGTGGAATTTTGAGTCTGGAGTGTCTACATGACACAATGGTATAGGATACAGCCTGTAAAGTCGTCAGGAGTTCGGATCCCCCTTCTCTGCATGGTCCTTGACCATGAGAGAGCAGGAATTGGAGCATTTCTCTTTAGGGCAGCTGCCCGAGCAGCTGATGAACGAGGTGACCACAACTCTGTCACCGAATTGGAACCCGTTCAGCAAAAAGCTCAGATAAAAGCCGCAGAGATCACCTTACTTCTGCGGAAATACAAGGATAAGCCAATGCATGGGGTCTTCTTCAATAACATTGGAGACCTTGGCTTATCAAAGCGCCTGACGCTCGCTTTTCTCAAGTTGAGCGGGCTGAAGTCGGAAACTGAGGGGTTCTTCAACACCTTAGTCTACCGCATTCGCATGATGGGTATAGATGTTCCTGACACAAGCTGCAGGGCCCGCCGCGAGGCATTCGAAACCCTAATGCACTTGCTATCAGCATATCCAGCATATGCGGTCTCGGCCTATATCCATCGACATAACGAGAGCACATAAGAGAGCTATATTACCATCTACGGCTCTCTTACGGTATTGACGAGACACCGGTGTTGCCCTACGCTCCGGGGGATATTGAATCCGTTGTAGGGAACGAAAAGTGCCGAATTTATTGGAACTATTCGTTCCCCACCCTCAGGCTCATACAAGCTGATAGGCCTGATGTAGTCCTTCTCGACCACTAGAGCAAAACGATATTTGTCGTGGAGTTTTTAGCTCCTTGCGAGACAAATATCGTCAGAAAAGAGGAGGAAAAACGGAGATGCCGCAATAAGGCAGAAATCTTAGCCGCACAGATGCACAAGGCTGTCATTCTTAGCTCACTGCGCTTGCTTAGGGCACATGATTCTCGGATCCAATGGTCACTTACCCCACGGTGTGGGGAGTGGTCATTGGTTGATAATGCTGGCGCGCCCTCCCGAATGTATCGGGGCTTCGGGGATACGGCCTGACTAGCGCAAACTACGGTTAAAAAAAATAATAATAAACGACTTTATTGCTTTCGTAACTAGAATGAAGAGAATACATATGTGATGTGAATTTGGCCCAAAGCAAAAGGCGAAGTTCAGTTTATAAAATGATATAAAATCAGCTCATAAACTGTTCTTCAACTTAACCTTAAGTATATCGCTAGGCGTGTAGAACGCAACAATATAAAAGAATGAAAGTTAAACAATTACAGCAATAAATCTAATTTCTATCGTACGTAAATCAGGATTGCATTGAAGTGTTTCTTATAGGCCTGCTTGAATCTTTGCAAACTGTAGGATTTAAACATAGTAGGGACCTGATTGTATATTGAACAGATTTGATAAGTATAACTACGCCTCAATATTTCTAATCTGAAGATTCGCAGTGAAAGGGCTTCTTTATTTCAGACATTCAGATTATTTTGATTTAATTTTAGTAGATGAACTATTATACACAATTATTCCAACGATTTTCAGTTCAGTTTCAATTTTTGCAGTTATGAAATTAATGAGTTACCTTGTATAATGATTATGCGATTATATACGATTTAGCTACATATGATAATATCGAGAAGTAATAAGGAAATGAATATATCAAAATGGAATCCCGAAACATTCATCTCTTCCAACACACCTACACAGTAGGTTTTGATAAATGCCTGCGGAAAACAACTACTTTCCCGGCTAATATCACACTGAACATTGATTTATATCCGACAGACATTTATGCAAGATACCTCACAGAGCGTGGTATTAGTCGGAGTAGTAGTTGTTTTTCGCAGGTATTTGCCAGAACCTACTGTGTAGGTTGTAGGTTGAAAAGTTATCTCACTATGGATTTATAGGAACTGGAATATCACTTATTGAATCTTATCTGGAACAGCGCTACCAACGAGTCTTTTATGGTGATAAATATACGCCTGTTGTCCATGGTGTACTCTAAGGTTCTGTTCTCAGACCACTACTTTTTATAATATTCGAGGTCTGTTCAAAAAATGAGTAGAATGTTCAAATTTCGCGAGCGATTTAATTTAAAATCGCGATTAGCGATTTTAAATTTTTTCATGTTGCTACACTCGCCTGGAACATATTTCCACAGTTTCAGCTGTTTAGTAAGTTTAGTTTGTAGGTGAGAGGCATACAAGTTAGACGTGTTTTGGGAGTTCGGCGATTTTCTGCTATCGAAAAAATGAATACAAAAATCTGTATCAAATTTCGATCGCACTAGAGCCCCGCCTCGATGAACATGTTGAGAAAGTGAAAAAAATGGTTATATAAAATCGTAGAATCTCTATTAGAGAAGTTGCTGAGGATGCTGAAGAAGAACAATTTAAAAAAATCATGCCTCAGCCACCGTATTCACCAGATTTAACCCCATGCGACTTTTTCTTGTCCCCGAGATTGAAAAGACCTATAAAAAGATGGCGTTTTGCGACGATTGAGAAGTAAAAACCGAATCGCTGAGTGAACTCTGGAACATACCAAAAAAGGGAGTACCAAAACCGCTTTGAAGATTGGGAAAAACGCTGGCCCAAGTATATTATATCTGAGGGGGACTTCTTTGAGGGGGACAGAACTGAAATTGATGAAAATGAATATTTTTTGAAAAATTATTGAAACCTCATCTCATTTTTTAAAAAGACCTTGTGTGCATGGTGTGCGTTAAGTTGCAGATTTATATACTTATAGACTTATAGACGCAACATTGGTGGCAGCGATAGTTTGTTTATATTTTTTATAATTGATACGAATATGTAAATTTTGCACAGTATATAGCGGAAATTATGTACAATTATTATCCTTAAATATCAACCCTCTACTTGTGTCATCTTGAAAGTGGGCGAAAATGTGTAAGGAAAAATTTGAACATGTCAAAAAGAGCCAATGAAATTGAGTTTGATTTGATAAATCAAAAAAATTGCACAACTGAATCTATATTATCATTTTACTTGCAAGGTAAACTATTTTTTCCAATAACTTTAGTCTCAGTTGTTTTGAACTTGCATATCGAAAAATCTTTTGATAATAATGCATTCACTAAGTAGGTATGTGTGAGTGGAAAATTTAGAAAGAAGGTGCAAATTCTAATGATTTTTGATGAATTTTGTATTTCAATTAATAATACAAACCGTTTTTCCAAATTACGGCAACTAGAAAGGAATTTTTAATTTTACAATTCTTAACTTTTTGTCACAGGTAAACAAAATTCGGCTAATATAGTCATAAAGGACCGTCTGTTATTACCAACTGTGGTGGTATAGGTATATAAGGGTGTACATTGTTAATTATTTCAGTTTATTGTATTATGTAGTAACGTTAGTTACAAATACAAGTGGTACAGAAACATAGGAAGTATATCTCATGATGATCTCCTACCACGTAGTAACGGTTACATCCTGCAATTTATTGAAAGTATTGTCTTTTGACATTCGACGACCGAACAGATGATGTTAGGTTGATTAATTTTCAGGAAATCATGTTCCGAATATTACCACTTGTTCATAAGTATGACATCAAAAGTTAGTTTTGGAATACATAACCAAAATGTTGGTTACTGAATTTACTGAATTAAAATCATCAAACCAGCCCCTTACCTAACCTTACTTTTGACTAACTTTCATTTTTTTTGTTTTTATGGATTATCAAACTTTCATTAAGGTTTATCAACTATATTTTTGTACAATATTGTCTTTATAATTACATTAGGTCGTTTCAAAGGTTTTGTCCGTTTAAATGTCATGTGTTTTTGTAGTTCCATATCTCAATAAATATTTATTCTAATGTGTTGTGGTATATACTGATCGATAGAGAATTTTGTACTTTATATATTGACGGAGTCCGTTTTTTTCTGAATTTCAATTTTTTGCATCTTTTCAGCTTATTACTATATGATGTCGTTAAGCGATTTTTGGCCAATTTTTTTCTATGAATTCAAATTGAACCAAAGCACTACCGAAAAAGCCCAAAAAATTACACAGGCATTTACCCACGAAGATTTGAGGACCCTGGAGGAGACTGACCCATCACAAACGTGCGTGGGATGTTGAAAGAAGTGAACGTCAGTTCCCATGCGGTTTTTAATTATTTATAACGTATTGGAATAGTCGAATAGCTCAAAAAAGTGGGTGCCCCACAATATTTTCATGTTTTGAGGTCTGTTATTCTTTGCTTTTGTGACAATATAGGAGACGTTCAGAGCAGTGATTGGACACAATGAGCCGCCCAAGTACTTCCCAAACGCGAAAAACCACCAAAAAATAGAATGGTTAGGTTAAGTTAGGTTATGTTAGGTTACGTATGGTGGTCAGCGGCTGGTATCTCCACCCAGGTACTTCCCAAACGTGAAAAATCACCAAAAAAGAACGTAGTTACTGTATGATGGTCAGTGGCTGCAATTGGGTCAAACCATGACAGCAGAAAATTGAGCGAGTAGCTTCTGCCTCACCCACCATATTCCCCAGACCTCTCGCCAACTGACTATCATCTTTTCAAGCATTTCAATAACTTTCTCGTCGGTAGAACACTCGCCAAGCAGGACCAGGCAAAAACGGCCTTCGTCAACTTCATTGAATTCCAAGCACACAAATTTATTGCTGACGAAAATAATCGACTTGTGTTACGTTAGCAAAAGTGCCAACGTTGATTTAAATAGAGCTTATTTCGATTAAATTGAATGAATATCCACCGGGATATTACAGTTTAAAGTAGACTCATAAAAACAGACAAAACTTTTGAAACCACCTAATACATGCTTCGAATGAAGTATTTTTAACTATGTTTATATCTATTCATCAAGTGCGTATTAGTTGACGTGACTTAATAAATTATTATCAGTATGATTCCAGGTACTCAGTTCTTCAATTTCCCCAATCCATAAAACATTCAAGTCTCACCTGTGAATCCGACGAACTCATTTCTGAAGGTTTCTCCGTAACGCTGCTGTCATCAGGATTCTCGTCGTATCCTTTCAAACTCTCCTCGTCCGAATTGTAGGGAACCGACGCTGGTGACGGCCTCGGTGGAGATTTTCCAACGATCGGAGGTGGTTGGTGCTGGGTGGGTTTCTTCGATAAAGTGCTCTTCTTAGTTACCGTTCCCAACGAGTTCATGGTGGAGGTACCGTTCCTGGGGTGGAAATAGTTCATTTCCTGGTGATCGCCCATCGACATCGCCATTGATTCTTCCAGAGTTTTCTGAGCCTCTTCTGTGATTTGAAATAAATAATTGTATTCATTGTGGGCAAATACATGTTGAAGAGGGGGAAGTACAAACTCAAAATTTCTTTGTATCGATGAGAAAACTGAAATTATTATATATTAAAAAAAAGGAGCGGACCAAGAATAGATCCTGGTGACACCCCAAAATTTATTTTTCTTATGGAACTCTTTTGATTTTCTTTGCAAACATATTGTTGTCTATCACTCATGTAATTTACAAACAACTTGAGGATATTCCCTCTAATGCCAAAATTGTTTAGTTTTAAGATCAATATGATAGTGATCTGAAAAGTTTTGGACCTCAACTTGAAGATAGCAGCGCTGGTAAGTAAAAACTATATTGAATGCGCAGTTGTTATGTAACAGTCGTTTTAGTGAGTTGATGTGATTGTATTTATGAAAATAGGCAGCTGTCAAGTATGGAACTGTCATTATTTGTTTTTGAATGGCAATACACTAACGCTGTGTAAGGGGGACTCTCTACCATCATTTACCACAGTCAAATTTTGAGCAGCTGAATTGAAACGTGACCGTGAGAGCTTAGAAGACGATGAACGTTCGGGACGTCAAAAAACTACCGACGACAACATCGCCAAAGTTCACCAAATGGTGCTAGACGACCGCCGAATTAAAGTGGGAGAGGTAGTGGAGGTTATGAACATGTTAAAAAACGTGTTTATCATATATTAAATCAAAATTTAGGTATGAGAAAGCTGTCCGTGCGTTGGGTGCCGCGTTTGCTCACGTTAGACTAGAAACGTGTTCGAATGAACATTTCCAACGCTGTGTTGGCGTAGTTTTAGGCGCAATAAATTCGAGTTTTGTCGCCGATTAATTACTGTAGATGAAACTTGGATGCTCCATTATATGCCCAAAACAAAAATACAGTTCAAACAGCGGAATGCAAAGGGGGACCCGGCTCGAAAAAAAGGAAAAAATTGTTTTTTCAACTGGGAGTGTGATGGCGACTCTTTTTTGAGATAGCCATGTAGTATTTTAATCGTTATCTTCACAAAAAGGAAAAACCATAGGAGACAATCCTGTTTCACCAAAACAACACACCGTCTCACACCACAGCGGTTGCCATGGCGGAAATCTACGAATTATGGTTCAAACTGCTTGTCCAACCGCCTTACTCTCCAGATCTAGCCCCAAGTGACTTATTTTTGTTAACTCATCTGAAAATTGCGCTCGGAGGGCAGAGATTTTCATCAAATGAAGAGGCAATAACCTTGGTGAACAATTATTTTACAGAGAAAAACGCCTAGTACTATTTTAGATGGGTTACAGAGATGGGAGCATAGCTGGGAGACTATGTTGGAAAAAAAATCGGAAAATATGACTTGTATACTTGTTAGGACAGAAACTTTTCAGACCAACCACAAGCAGACAACAAGAGCAGCCATTTTTTATTATTGACAGTTTCAGATTGAATTTCTAAATTTCAAAAGTACTTGTAGATTGCTTCACGCCAAAAAAGATTCAAACAATTTCAGGAAAATACCTCTGACACCACACAGTTTCAGTTTTGTCAGTAGAATATCATGGTCCAGTGAATAGAACTGATAGTTACAGGGTTGGCAGGTTTAAACCAACATGCTTGAAACCATGGTTTCAACCAACTGGTTTTTTAAGAAAACAAACCCGTTTTTATTGGGTTTTTCTCTCTAGGTTGTTGATATTATTCTAATAATGAAAACTACAGCTCAGTAAACTACAAATAAAAATTTGATATTTAAATTTTTAAAGTTTTAACCAAATAAACCTGGTTCAAACAAAAAAACCTGTTTTTTTTAAAAAACTTGGTTTTTGCCAACCCTGGATAGTTAGTTATCAATCAAATTATGTGGTAACAGAACAAAAACTTTCTGGCTCGAAGCATTATGAAATCTATACATTCGTTGACATACTTACGTTTATACTTGTAACTCTTGCTTTTCACGCACAGGATGGCAATAATCATAATAATTATCACTATAGAAGTAGCAGCTAACGTAACCATAAACCACGTCTGACGGTAAAACGGTGTATGCTGTAGATATCCGTACTCCATGTAGAGCTTGGATGGCGTCAAAACCGATTCGTCCGAATACGCAGGATAGCTGATGCCAAATTTGTTGTAAGAAATTACTCGAAACTTATAAGACGTCGACGGCAGTAAACTTTGGTATAACACAGTGAATTCTTGTAAGGGCCCGTTGGTAGTCTTGCTAACAGTTTGCCATCTGGTGTCGTCTGAAAGTACAACATGAAAATCAAGAAAAAAAAAAGTATTTATTTATTCATTTACGGACAAGCCCATTTAAAGTATAAATTACAATGTTAAATTATAATTAAAATAAAATCAGATAAGGTACTGAATTACAAATTCCAACTAATAATAGCTTACAAGGGGTAAATTTAAAGTTTAAAAAGGGGTTAATTTTAGAGTATAAAACGACAAAAAACAGTGAGCGACAATAAAACATACTACATATACTACCATAAACTATGCACTAAAATGATACATCACAGTATTCCGTAATTGAGTTTTAAAATGATGCAAGGAGATATTAAACATCTCAAAATCAACGTTACTATTGGCTAATCATAAGATTTTTGAAATGCAGCTATTGAATGTGTGGTTCAAACGATAAAATGGTATGTAAAATGTTTTGAACATGTAGATACATTTTTTCTAGGAGTTCAGCACAACTGAATTTGCCGTTAATAATATTGAAAAGTAGTGTCAGATCCCTCTGTTTCCTCCTAGTTTCCAGGGAGGACATGCTCAGAGATTGCAGTAGTAACTCATACTCGCAACGAACACCCGATTTATATGCTATGTATCTGAGGAAGTTGTGTTAGACATTTTCGATATTCTTATCATAAGTTACACAATGAGGGGACGAGACAGAAGAACAATATTCCAGGAGTGGATGGACCAGTGAACAATAAAAAGCATTAATAGCACTTGCGTCAGTGAATTAGTGGGTTAGCCGTTTAAAAAAACCGAGCATTTTCATGGCTTTATGGATAGCCGTGGATATATGTAGATTGAAGCTCATGGTGGGATCAAGAACAACTCCAAAGTCTTTTATTTGATTAACAGACTCCAAGACGTGACCATTTAAGGTATAGTCAAAACTGGTAAGAAGGTACATGGGATCAATAAAAGCACATGACATAGCACTTTGTGGCATTCAAATTCATGCCATTTGAGGAGCACCAGCTTAGCTTGATATATTGTCAAGGTCAGACTGAAGCCTATGGGCTTCCAAAGAGGTTTTAATAAGTAGGAAAAGTTTTAAATCATCTGCAAATAATAGTGCTTTAGAGTGCCGGAAGCACTGAATAATATCGTTAATAAATAAATTGAATAATAAGGGACCGAGGTGTGACCCTTGAGGAACACCAGAGGTTACTTCGAATAACGTGGAATAGTGATAATCTGCTCTAACCATTTCAGTCTTATTCGTAAGATAACTACTAATCCATTTCTGTAGTACCACCTACACCATATCTGTTGAGCTTTTGGAGTAAGAGGTTATGGTTGACCCTGTCAAACGCCTTAGAGAAGTCAGTGTACACAGAATCAATCTGGCAGCCCTTCTCCAAAAATTCCGACAGGAAGTGGGAATAGGTAACTAGGTTTAATTCAGTCGATTTCCCAGCACCAAAACCATATTGTTTTTCAGTTATGATGCCAGAGCAATCATAGGTAAGGTAATCTGCCAGAATGTTCTTGAATATTTTGGAAATTGTACTGAGAATAGATATCGGTCGGTGATTAATAACGTCTGTCTTAGTACCCGATTGGTATATTGGGGTGACATAAGATTGTTTCCAATAATCTGGAAACACACCTGATTTCATAGATTTATTGAAAATATAGAAAAGAGGGCGAGACAAAACGAATCTGCAATTTCTGTATAAACTGGGTGGAATAATGTCAGGACCTAGACCTTTCTTTATAATAAGATTGTATAATTTCTCGTAAATGGTTGAAATTGAAATGTGGATTTAGATTCTGAGTTATGTAAACTGATGAAAAGTGCTTGGCAAATAGATCAGACACTTTACTACCACAGGAGGCGAAAGAGTTGTCAAGATTCATATTGTAAGGTATGATGTTATTGGATCTTTTAGTTCTAACAAAATTCCAGAAGCTTTTAACATTACTTTCAACACAGGTTTTAACCGAATGAATGTAATTTAAATAACGTTCTCTAGATATAATCTTGCATTGTGATCTCAACTGACTAAATATTTCATAGTTTTGGGGAGTTCTGTTTCATTTATAAATCCTATGTGCAACCGTTTTATCGTTGACCAAGGTTCTAAGTTGAGAGGAATACCAATGTGGGAATCTGTTAACAAAAAATGAATGTTTGTTTCTCAACTTACCTTTTCTGCGAGATTCGATGTAATATCCGAGAATGGGTCCTTTTCCTGTGGGGCCGTTAAACCACCTGAGTTCAACACTCGACAAAGTCTTGACCAAGCTCAGTTCTTTGGGGGTGCCGGGAGATCCTTCTTGGGGACCAGTCGTAACGTTACTGGAAGTTGGAGGTCCGTAATCTATGGTCTGCGCTTTTACTCTAAAAGTGTATGTAACTTCTTCTTCCAAACTTTGGACTTGGAGGTATGTTGAGGTAACTTTTTGCTTAACTTGCTTGCTGTAACCTATGGAATATAATCCTACTGTAAGTACTACTGCTATGATTTTATGAATTTTACATACTAGATTGTTTATCTTTCTTTAAGTTCATGCAAATATTCTGGGAAGAACCAACAAGGCAGATACTTTAAATTTGTTTCCTGAAAAGTATCCTGAATTGCTTTCTATTTCACGAGGACTGCTTTTCGAAGTTTTCGCCCAGTTTTTTGCCCAGAAACTACAATATTTTGTTAACAAACGTTCGAAAACTGAATGGCATTAGGAAAAAAAAGTTTTAGCTTTTTATTTCTTCATATTCTTACGAAAAGTTGTGGGAATCTTCCAAAAAAGAGGAAGAAAGCAATTAATTTTAAATTTAAGCGAATGAATGTCGTTATTTACTGTCATTGACGACATGAGTAGGTTTAAGGCATTATTGACATAAAATCGTAGTTTCATGAAAGAATTTGCTGCTATTAACCCATAACAGACTGGCGTTATCTGCTTATCTACCTGACATCTATACTGTTTTTTGAAAAGAACAATCAATTTTTACAGTTTTCTGCTATGGTGCAGTTCACGAATTGTTTACGTTACTTCTAAATAGGAGTAGATGATTCTGGCATGCTTCTTTCCCTAAGTGTGATTGAATATTCTAGCGTGTTATATTTGCTGACTGCAAAATGGATATAAACTTCATGTAGGTACAACAAAATATCTCCTGTTATGGTCTATAGTAGCATGCAAATCTAAATAAATGATGATTTTCCATACAAATAGCACTTTTGACTGAAATAATCCGCTAATTAGATATTTAATTGATTCCTAACCTCAGAATTGCCATATGGCAATGCTAGGCTTCACAGGCTGCATGTTTATATGATGTTCCTTTTTGTTGTTAGAGATGGGTTAACTCTGGAAGAAGCATTGCAAATGGCTTATTCAGACGACCTCGATGTTCGAAACATCTTTATAGAACCGCCAGATGTGAATGAATTGACTGATGAAGATTCTGGCGAGGAGGATGAAGGAGGGCTTGTCGACAATTTGTCAAGAAATCAACTGAAGGCATCCGCTCAGTTAGAAGTTTTTCAAAACGATTNTGTGCTGGTGAACAATGCAAGTCAATTATGAGAACAATGTGTATCAAATGTGGCGTAGGGCTTTGCCTAAAATGCAATTTATTGTTCCATACCCGTTTGTAAATCTTCCTGACAATTCTGACATTTTTTCAATAAAAACATTTCATTCAAGTCGTTATTTTACTAATTCTGCACCAGAAGACCACATCCACCCATTGCAATGCCTAGCATTGCCATATGGCAACCAGCAATATTTTGAAGAAAAATGCATATTTCAATAATTGGTTGTTATTTTCTTGATCACTAGAATTAATTGAAGCACTTTCACTTGAAATTATCATTTTTTTGAAAAAACAAGAAAACTCCGTCCCTGATGGGTTAATACTTGTGATACTAAAGTATCACAAGTAATGTTAAGGGAATGTACAGAAAATAACATATATTTGTGAAATGGAACTTAATTTAACTGAAGTTAACGTTTAATATTTCACTTACGTTCATTCTCCTCTGTAGTTTCGTATGTAACTATATAACCCAAAATATCTCCATTCCTCTTCTTCGGTGGATCCCAAGCCACTACCAAACTGTTCATGGTTATGTCCGTGAACCTAAGATTCGCAGGAGCACTGGGGAGACCTTGTAGAGTTTTCACTTTAATCATCTGCGACCTGGGTCCATCTCCAGCAGGATTGAAAGCTAGAATCTGAATTTTGTACTCGGTATATTTGTCGAGAAATACCAAACTGTGCGACGTGGTAGATGCTGGAACCACTTCAATTTCTTCCTCCCATTTCTTCCCCTCCTCCAGTTCCTGGGGCGAGTTGAGAACGAGATAAAAAATCTACAAATAAAGAAATCAATGAAACCATTACATGAGCGAATGGTTGAATAATTTGTTCCTACTTTGTAACCCAATAGTTCTCCATTTTGCATTTGCTGTTGGGGTGGTTTCCATCTCAACCTCACTTCTGTCGATGATACCGGCTCTCCTTGTAAGCTTCTGGGTTCCCCTGTAGGAACCGCCTCCCCAATATAGACAGTTATAGGGGGACTGGCTGGTCCTTCTCCTTGAGCATTAAATGGCACTACCACGATTTCATAATTTCTGTCTTGCAGCAATTCACTCAGTACCATTTTGCTAGCCTGAATCAGAATAATTAAATTCTTAAATGTTAATTATGTAAACAGAGTGGAATAAAAAAATTCTGACATGTCTTCACTATAACCAACTAATAGAATATGTGGAAAAAAACGACATTTTAATCAACAATCAATCGGGTTTTCGCAAATTGCATTCGTGTGAGTCATCAGTGCAAATAGCTGTAATTTGTATAATTCCTTTCATCTAATGTTCGTTATATATTTCAAATAATTATGTAATTTATCTTTCTACATGTTGCATTGAAATTTTTCGAATGTATAATGTTGCTGTTTTTGTAGTAATGTCTTTAAAAATATTTTATTGAACTTATGTTTGTCATACATTTAAGTCATTTCTAGACGTAACACATACCTTTTTTTTTATTTCTACCATTCTAGTTGATTTGTATATCATTAGGATATCCTATTTAAATAAAGATCTATCTATCTATCTATCTATCACTAACCTTTGAATGTGAAATACTGATCGTAAACTGATTTATTCACCAAAGAATGTGAACTTACGCGGCTATTTTTCGGGTTGGTTGGTCGTGGTCTGCAGGTTTGTCTGACGTTTCGTCTACAACTACAGTAGACGTTATCGGGGCGATGAGCTAACAAACATAGTGCTCTGGACCCTCACTGCGCATTCGATTTTTCAATTTTATTTTATTGATAGTGAGCATGACTTTATTCCTATTGGTTGGGTTAGCTGGACTTTAATCAAGTTGATTCCCTCTTTCTTTGAGTTGAATTTGTCTCTGTATTTGTCAATTTCACGATTCGTGAAAACCCCAAGCAGGAGTTACGTTTTCTTTCCTGTTTCGTTTTGCCCACTTGAATTCAGCTTCAGAATAGGCACTCACGTTATCGAGTTTGAAGAGACTTAAGCACTCAACAGACTCGGAACTCTTTCAAAAATAATATAGAAAGACGATAAAAAACAGAAACACAGAGTTACTGTCAACTGAAGGAAGAGGGGATTAATATAAATAGAGGTTGGCTACCTGCATTAAACTGTACAAGTTTCAGGCCAATTACCCTAACTAATAGGGACAAAGTCACATACACCACCAATGAAACATGACACAAGATCAGAACATTGAAAGAAGTAGTATGTGCTGTGAGGGTAGACTACAGCCTGCAGACTACGGCAACAAACCCTGAAAATATCTTTGATTTATTGACATTCGCAAATCAACCTAACCGTGCTTTGTTTATTTCAGCAAATTATATCAACAATTATTTTCAACAATTTCGTTTCAAAATGTATTTTGCTAGTAGTTTTGCTATGACATATGTTGTGATCAAGGTGTGACTTTATTTTTAAAGTCAAGTATATCTAGCATTTTTATTAATATACTGAAAATTTGTTTGAGAACTCGTCAAAGCGAAGATCTTGAAATAACTTCAGAATCAGAAAAGGATTCAAAATCTCTACTAAAATTAAATTTGTTCAACTCACATTGATACCCATGATTTCTTCTTTTGGAGTGACTTGAAGTGCTGTAGGGAAATCAGAAACTGGCTGAAACACTACTCTGTAACCTCCTGTTTTGGTATCACCACTCCAATACTGCTCCTCGACTGGCTCCCAAAATACTTCAACACTTGTGGTGGTGATTGGTACTGCTTTAAGTCCCGTGATACTCTTGCTAGGTGCGGCAGAATGTGTCTGAACCTCAATGGATTCCGGACTGAATCGACTCGGACCGATATCGTTGGTCGCTTGAATACGAAACCTGTACCGAGTAAAAGGTTTCAAGTCGGATACCGTATAAGAGTCTCGACTCGGATCGACTCTCTCAGGCAACGACTGCCATGGGCCGCCGTTTTCCATTTTCTGTACTGTATAGTACCTCAGAGGGGCGAATCCATCCCTGCCAGGTGTCCAGTTGAAGGTTATCTGCTTGCTCTGAACTTGGCTGAGACTTATCTGAGGTAAAGATGGCGGTTGCGGTATTTCGCGATTGTTGGTGGTGAATACCAACGCGTGTGCGGTTTTGCCCCACCCCAAACGAGTTTGGGCAGTTACTGAGAACATGTAGTACTTTTCTGCGTCGAGCTGAATGAACCGAAACGTTCTGTCAGAAGGAAGGAATTCTTTGGAGGATTTGCTGTTGACTTTGGCATTCTCTATGTGGTAGGTGACTTTGTATGCCAATATTTCTCCGTTCGGCTCTTCAGGAACGTCCCAGATTATTCTTGCAGTTGTGAATGAAACGTCTGGGAATGAAACGTTGGACGGAGCACCGGGAACTGAAAGCAGTCAGCATTAGATTTTTCATATAGAGCAATAAATGAAAAATGATTCATGACCAAGTGTATGAACTGAAGAACACTATAACAGGACTGCTATGTAGATCAACAACTGAAGCTAATATTTTCAACTATAAGCAATCTAGCAATAATGAAAAACTTTCTGATAAAGGCAATAATTACTTCATCGGAAAGACTATGGAAATTCATTAGTTACTCACCATCTTCATGCGTTCTAACTCTCACAGCTGGAGTGCTTGGTTCACCGTCACCCAATCTGGTATAAGCAAGCACCTGAATGTGATATGTCACAAACTTTCGTAGCTCCGTCAGTGTCGTTGTGAATGTTGAATTACTCGGAATTTGTTTATACTGAACGGGAGATTTTACTCCAGCTGTGTAGAATACCTTGAACCCTTCGATCAAACCATTCTGGTGTTCTTTCGGAACATCGCCCCATCTGACGACTATAGTTGTTGAAGAGGTCGCGTTTGCTTCGATGTTCATAGGACCAAATGAAGGTACTGAAAAATTCAACAGTCAAGCAAAATTAATGAAATTAATAATACACTTTTCGGTAAGACTATGGAAAATATTTAATATCGGTTTTAATTTCATCGAAATTGAATAAGGCCCGGGAGTACAGTGAACTGAATTTTGAATAATTTATGAAACAATTACCTGATTCTCTTGTTCTCTCTAGCGCTGTAGGACCTGGAGCAGAGCATCCGACATCGTTACAAGCTTGCATTTTTATTTCATAGAGAGCATATTCTTCCAAGCTGATTATTATATGAGAATTAGCGGTATGGTCTTCTATGGTGGAACTATGAGCAAATCCGGTTCTCATTTCAGTATAAGTGATATTATAACCTCTGGGATTCCCAAACCATTCGATTTGTTGCAAAGGCTGAAATCACCATTATGTATGAACGTGATAAATTTAGGTATCACCTGTCATATTTACTACTGATCATATGAACTGTGGAAATTATCATGATTTTGAAGCTTAAAATTAATACTTACTATCCATCTGACTCGCAATTCTGTGGCACTCATCGCTCTTACAGTAACATTCTTTGGCGGATGTGCAGGAGGGGCCTGGATCGTCTGAAACTCCTTGGTAGCTTCTGATGGATTTGAACGACCAACAACATTATTAGCGATCAGTCTCAATCTGTACAAGGTGAATGGTACGAGTCCTGTTACCGTTATGGTAGTCGCATCGGGATCATTAATTTCATATACGATAAACCAGGTGGCGTTCCTTGCAGTTTGCGCTTCCACCGTCCATTTAGTGATAGACGAGTTACCATCGAATCCAGGAGTAAATTGCAAAACGACAGAAAAGGCTTCAATATTGGACAATGCTAACTTGGAGGGTGGATGCGGCAATACAGGTTCTACTCCAGATTGTATTATAGCTATCTTGGGTGGACCAGGACCGACGTCGGTCCATGCGGTGACGTCGAATCGATAATGAGTCGTCGCTCGCAAATCCGTAATTTTGGTACTATGAGTATTCGCCGTGAAGTTTTTCACCCGGATCGTTTGTGGTTCGTCTTTGATCATATACGTCAGCTGGTACCGGGTTAAGATACCATTTATTCTCTTTGGAGGTTTCCACAGAACTTTTACAGCTCTATCGCTGATTTCGTCAAACTGAAGGTTGGATACTTCATCGGGAACTATAACAAGAATTCAACGTTTAAAAATCACCAAGTTTGGTTATAATTAGAGATCTGGAATGATGTCTCTCAGAAAAGCTTTCCAAGAAAAGTAAAATGCACGTGAGGAAATAGAGTGAGATAATAATAATAATAATAATTATAAGTCTTTATTCATCACAATAAGGAGTACAAATTAAATAAAATTCAAAGAAATGATGAATAGGCGGAGTTCCGCTATTATAGCTACTTTTAAACCCACCCTCGATTGGTATGTATTTTTATAATTTTTTTATACTATTCGGGTATGCGAGAAATTTCCAAAATCTTTTTGCATATGTCGTGCTATCACTGCCGTGTAAGAAACATGTCTTTCAACCTTTTTTTGAAGTTTCTCATTGAACTTTCTTTAAAGTCTTTAGAGATGGTGTTATACAACTTTGCCGCATTGTAGGAGAAACTTCGAGTAAACATTGCTATGGAATGTCTAGGAATGAGCAAAGTATGTCTATTACGAGAAGTGCCACTGTGTGATAGTGCAACCAGTCTTTCACGTAATAGTAAGGCCCATATCCCAAAACAAGAATTCTATGCGTGAAACTAAGCAAATTGATTGCTCTTAGATATTTGAGTGAAAGCCAGCCAGAATCTCGAAAGGACGGACTTATGTGATCATACTTTCGAATACCGTACGAAAATCTGACACAACTATTTTGTATACGCTGGAATCCCATTACATCTAATTGTTGTAAGGTGGGTCCGTAGATACAATCGCAGTTAGCTAATCCTGAAAAAATAAGTGTTTCACAGAGACTCAACTTCAGACTTTTTGATAAAAGGTGCCTACTTGGATACAGTTGTCTCAATACATTGAATGACGTTTAACAAAGATGACTTACATACTTCGTGAATCTCAAGTCTGTATCTAACCACAATCCCAGATTTTTACATTCATTTACAAAAGAAATTATGTTATTGTTGACACGGATCGACAATGACTCCCACACAATATTTCTTTTACTTTTGGGACCAAATAACATTACCTGGGATTTCTTTGGATTGATAGTAAGATTTTTTGCACAGGATACATCGTAAAGAGTTTCAAGGTTTCTGTTACTATTTTCATTAGCGAGTATATCTTTGAAGCTGAATGAATTATACAATTGAGTATCATCGGCGTAGTGATGTATTTTACCAAAACTTAGAAATTCATGAAAGTCACTAATATAAATTGCAAAAATGGGAGGTCCCAGGACTGGATCTTGCGGTAAACCAAATTATTTTGATATTATTATTGATTGGTTACCATCAAGTTAAGTTGACTGGGTCCCTTCGGAGAGATAGCTATTCATAAGTGACACTGCATTATGGGTAAAACCAAAGCACTCAAGTTTTATGGACAATAAAGAAGAATCCAAGGTATCGAATGCTTTACTGTAATCAAGCAATAAGAGAGATGTGAAATTTCCTTCATCAAGTTATTTGAATATGTCGTCAGTGACGAGACTTAGAGCCGTAGTAGTGCTATATAGAGAGTGAAATCCAGACTGAATGGAGATAATAAGATTTTTTCGTTTAACATAATCTGTGATCTGTTCTTTAATGATCATTTCAAAGGCTTTTCAGATGGCAGGAAGAACACTTATAGGTCTAATATCAGAGAACTCTGAGGGATGAGTTGCAGAATTACCTATCTTGGTTTCTGATGAGAAAATATTTCACATAATGTAATTGATAGAAGTAATGAGAATTGTTTCCTCAGGAAAAAATCATGGGTACTTTAAAGATGGTATATACATCACTTTCGATGAAATAAATAATAAAACAATATCGAAACTGATTATCAAGTATGTTTAATGGATAAGTTGATTCAGTTAATAGGTTTACCGTAGGTATAAACGCTTTCAGCAAAAAATTGTGAATTGTTTTCTTCATGAAACAGAAAAGCTTTTATTAGGGCATATTATTATTATACTTTTTTGGTGTAGAACTGTTCTATGTCAAGAAAGGATATAAACACTTGTATGCATTCTAAATTTCAACCTGTTTCAATATCATCAAAAATCTAATTCCGAAACACTTAGTTAAAAAAGTTACTAAACTACATCCAGATAAAATAACCCCTGCAACATAATCCGATGTACAAAAACTTCAAAATCGTGCAATGAGAATCACTTTGAGATGTAACAGATATACACCAATATCATTGATGTTGGGAACATTACAATGGCTGTCAATAGAAAATAGACTTATTTATTTAACTATGAGTTATATCTTCAAAATGTTGCATAATCTTCTTCCATCATATTTTCACAAATATATAACCAAATTCCCAAGAATTTAGCAGATTGTTTATTTTCTATCATATGAGTTTGAAGGCAGAAATTTCCATGCACAAATTTAAATGATAGAATGTTAGTTTTGCTGAAGTTAAAACATAGTAAGTTTGAGTCACACCAATGTCAATAAGATGTTCAGATCTTGGGTAATAAAGCATATTTTGATTTGATTTTGTATTGTGAAGTGAAACACACGGTTTTGTAAACTGTTCAGCGTACATTTCACAATAAAGTGTTACTTGAATACGTTATAGATTTTTGTGGAGAAAATTCAAACAAGGGCCTATCCAGGTTCATCTCTGATAAGAAGACTGTGTTGTATCTACAGTCCCGAAGTATTGATATATACTTTCAAATAAAATCCTCTTCATAGCTTTTTCGAATTTATGTCTATTGGAAATGTTTTCTTCAATAGTTTTGTTATGTACATGCGGTAAAGTGCGAGTTTTCTCGTAATATATATCTATGAAAAGTTCTCAAGCTGTCAAATTCAGCATCTAGTAATACACACTCAATAACAACACTTACCATCTTCCTTTGTTTTTACTTGATGATAATCGCTCATTTCGCCATCTCCTGGGTCGGTAAAACAAACGACTGTGATATTATACTCTGTGAATTTTTGTAAATGAGTCATGACTGCCGTTTGTTCAGCATACGGATCCAACAAATTTGGATGCACCGTCATCATGCTGGCCTCAAGATGACCCCTAGTGGGATGCCACTGCCAAGCCTGTATTTTATAGCCCTGATTGATCCCGTTGATTTTTTGTGGATCGGGAGGAATCCACCAAATCTGAATAGAGGTGGAATTCAACGGTTCGACTTTCCGAATGATGGGTGGGGATTCAGGAACGCCTTCTTTCGTTTTAATTTTGGCTCCATCTGTGAACACCCCTACGCCTTTATTGTTGTAAGCCGCGATCTGCACGATGTAGTCTTTCCATGTGATGAGATCTGTTATTAGATAATTTCGTTGAGCCTGAAAATTGAGTGAGAAAGTAGGTGAATTAAATCATCGAACAGAGTTATCCTTTGTTGAAACTTTTTCCTACCTCGTTTGTTATATTTCTGATCGTCCACGGGCTTTCGTTGTAACCGTATAACCGATATCGGATAATATAACCTAAAATTTGGCCGTTCCGATGTTCCTCTAAAGGAGGCTGCCACTGTGTTATAATTTCGGATGAACTTCTGGCTGATCCAACAAATCCCACAGGTGGTCCAGAGGGAGCTAGAAAGTATTCGGTAAACATTAACATAGGGTAATGAGTTCGATAATGTTTAAGCAATATGTATCGGTGAATGTTTTGTTGTCTTACAGTGAATATAGCCAACATTCTACATTTTGAAATACAATTGTCTTCTAACGATATCAGTACCGATTTGAAACCAAAAAAGTTGAGAAAGAGTCTGACAGTAATACGGTTACTTCCAATTCTGAATTTCAGGTTTTCAAAAGTATTGATGTCATTTAAATTTTCACCAATTGATTCAAACATTGTGATACAGAGGTTTTGTGCTAGTTCGTTTATTTTTACTTTTTTAGACGATGATCATAACTTCCAATTTACCATTATTAAAAGCAGGATTGTTTCAAATGTATATTCAAGCAGCTATATTCAATGAAAAACTGGAGACAATTGCATTGCTTCAAAACTTTAATCAACATGCTTGATAAGTATCATTTCATATGTGACTAAAATGTAAACTCACTGAAAAAGTGAAAAAAAAATAGTAAACATTCTTATGAATAAATAAAAGGGACAGAAACATGTCATGCAATATATAAATTTCAACATACATCCCACCTTTAAAGATAAATTTATATGAGCTGCCTGTATGATGGAAAAAAATTAAAACAATTGACTGATTTACTGAAGCATGACAGATGAAAGTGAAGTGAAAATAAAATATTTTCCGTTTCTCACTTGATGAGTTTCATCTGGAATTATTACTTGTTTACTGCTTGTACAAACATACAGTTCCCTTATAGAGGTTGGAATCAATTCGATTGTTACCAAATGTATCATGTTCTTATCTATATAATTATTATATGCGAGCTCTTTCGATAGCAGCCTGTGCAATCATTTTCATGGCTCAAACTGAACATTTTATCTTCTTGTTTGTTCTTTTATACGGTTAGAACGTCTTAGTGCAGGTATTTGTCCTCTCCTTTCACCTGGATGTCTCTTTAAATTTGGCTGTAATATCCTTTGTTTTTGGTATTTCCATAGGTTCGTTGTTTCTAGGAATGTGTATTGTGATGTGTAGTACATTGAATGTTAGGTTTTGCTGTGTATTGATTTGTATTTGTTGCTCGATAAGTGAATTTTGACTTTTGAATTTATGGATGTTTAGGTTTTCCTTCATTGACTTGTTTTATAAGTTTGATATTTTCTAGTGGAGGAAAGTTATGTTTGTTTTGTATGACGTGTGTTACGAGGTTTGATTTATATGTTATTGGGTTTATGTATGCTTTTTTGTGCTCGTCGTACCTTTGGATCAGTTTTTTCTTGGTTCTATATCGGCGGTCTAACCGCAAAAAAGAACAAACAAGAAGATAAAACGTTCAGTTCAAGTATATTATATCTGAATATATTATCCAAGTATATTATATCTGAGGGAAGGAGACAAAATTGAAATTGATGAATAGATAAATATTTTTTGCGAAAAATAAAAATTCACCATTTAAATGAAATGAATAAAAACACTTTTCTCTAAATACCACTGGTAAAGTTTATTTATACAACCGGTTTCAGGTTTGACCCGATTATCAAGTATAAAACTGAAATCTGAATTTTGAAATATCGATTTTATTAGAATTTTCAGGTATGCTGCGAGGACAGGTATTTGAGAGACAGGATGCCAACTTAAAATACCACCCTGAAAATTCTAGGGGTTGTTGAACTCATAAATTCAAGAGAGGAGACCTACCTAAATCAAGTTGCTCGTTTAGGGGTATATGGTTCTGATTTTTGATTGATTTGTTAATTTTCATGGCCTCCAACAGATTAATTTTTCTCCCTTCATTACATATATGTAGGATTTTGAGGTTATCTTCATTTATCTTGTGGTTTGATTCTTGAAGATGTTCGTACATTGCAGATTTTTTGTCCAAACAGACGTGTTCACGCAGTCTTATTTCAAAAGTTTCTACCGGTTTGGCCTGTATATACTGCAGAGCATTCGCCACACTCAATTCTATATATACCTGATTTTTTCATTCTATCTCGTTTGGGTTTTGCATTGAACAGGGTTCTACCTAAACTATTATTACTTCTGAAAGCTGTTGAAATTTTGTATTTAGATAAATTTAGACAAACAAAAGTGTTTTTATTCAATTCATTTATCATGAATTACCATAAAGTAAACAAGTCATCAATCACACATAAAAAATTCACAATATTTTTTTAACAGAGTAGCATATTATGTATACTGTATTTTTCGGAAAATGAATATATATCCATCTATCTAGTCTAAAAGTCAGGAATCAGGAGTGAACCACTACAATTTCATAATTGAATAATAAAAACTGCCTATTCAACATCCTTCATACATTCTCATTAGGTTCGGCCTAGGGGAACCCCAGAATCAAAGAAAAGAAGTGGAAAATTCAGAAGGCTGGAAGACTTTACGAAACATCGAGGTCAGTGTCGTATATTGATATTTTTTTCTTAATTTCTCTTGTTTGCGACAAAAACTGGTCTTGTATAATATTTACAGTACTTATCGAACAAACAACTAAAATTGCATTCATTCAAACCTTTACACGAGCACTGTATATGCATGTAAATCCATATTTTTCCCATATTCATTAACTTACCTATGTAGTTAGAGTTATCGAGAAAACAAACTGATCTATAAAATAGTTTACTTCATGAACTATATTCTATTTTTCAATGAGCCTTTTTCCTGAAGTACTCACTAGCAGCGCTAGTACTTCGGTAGGGACAAACACTGCCTAATCTACAATTGAAAAATAATGTTTTTAACATTATTTTGCTCCTAGAGCAAAACAAAAATGTGCAGCTGTAAAGAATAACAATGTAACATTAAAACGTTGGCTTGCATGCCGTAATTTAAAAGGAACTGGAAAAAAAAGTTAATTAATAGATAGGTTAGTATACAGACTCTAGTAAAAGAGTAGCGGTAGATTCAAACTCTAATAAAAGAAATTTAAATTAATTATGAATTTCAGATTTATTTCCGAGTGAAATATGAATCAAATATAGATGGTAATGAAATAAATTTAATTAAATATAATAAATGAATATAATTTAATAAACGATTGAGGTTATATCTCATTCTAATCAATGGTAATTAACTATGAAAAAATTACTATTCATTTCATGTTTAGTGCATACTTATGAATATTTATTTATTTTTTGCACTGTTAAATCCACTCTCTTCGAAGCATGTATCCATTTCTCACACCTAACCTCATTAATATGAGGTTTTATAAATGGTATAAAAACACTTTTTCTTCCGGATATCGATTATCTGACGTACAATTTGCAAAACAGCAATGCTTTGTTGGCATTATACTAGCACAAAATATACTAACTAACTATACTAACTATACTAACTACTAACACTGTTTTACATGTGAATAGTTTATGTTTGTCCCTACTACTAGTGCTGCCTCTCGTGACACGTTCGCTGTACTATTCTCAGGAAAAAGGCTCATTGTAGCTGAATGAATTTCGTTTTTGACATGGAACATTTCCAATTGATAGCCTTTTCACTATACAAGCTAGATACTTTCAAGAAACCCCCCGACTTTCCATAAGAACAAATAATTTTCAGTAGATAGACAATATTCCAGTGAATCAAATCTCATGAATATGCATTATTAACAAATTAAACATAGAGACATTTCGATTTTATCGAACATTACCATGTATTAACCGTAAGAAACTCACCTTCTTGTGGCAACATAACCTGATTGCTAGGATCAGAAGCAGGTCCTTCACCTACGCTGTTAACGGCGCTCACCCTGAACTGGTAAGCCGCTGCTGCCTTGAGGTTAGTCAGCAAAACCCATCGTTGCTCCATGGAAACGTTACTCAATTCTGTCACCCAGTTCAATAGCGGATCTGGTATTGGACCTGCAATAGGCGGGACTTTGCAACACAAAATAATACTGCTTGATAGTAAGGCTTGGTAGGTTTGAAAAAATTTGGGGAGATGAGCATGCTTGCGTAACTTCAATCAAGTTGAAATTTGGATGTCATTCGTAAAACAAATCATAAGGTGAAATGATTGGACCCATTAGTTTTGCGTCAACTATTTTTAGGTTATTTCAAAAGTTTTGTCCGTTTTAATGTCATGTGTTTTTGTATCTCTTTATCTCAATGAATATTTATTTTACTTTGTTGTGGTATATACTGATCAATAGTGAATTTTATACTCTCTACATTAGTCTTTCTCAAAATGGGCGATAACGCCCCCTTTTGGGCGCCGGAGGCCTATAGGGGGGGGGGGCAGTAAAGGGCTCAGAGAAGATTGGGGGAGTTGAAACGGTTTAGGGGGGCAATGGCTAATTTAAAAATGTTTTTTGCTTTTAACACAAACTTTACCGCTCCTTTACGCTTAACGCGCGTTTCCTTGTGTAACGCCATCTAGGGGATTAGACAGTAACTATTTCCTGTCTGATACTTGTCAAACGGTACAATAGATGGCGGTAAGCTTCAATGCGAAGCGCGAAGTTTCTAGTCTCCATTCTCGAAAGTACTAGGCCCGCCCGCTGCTTCATATAAAGGCGCGCGCGCCATCCAGCCAGTAATGTCATTCGACGATATAACGAAAACAAGTGAATTTAGTTAGCGACTAGCTAGGTAAAGTGCTGTACGTGTGGTGGTGAATAGTATGAGTGGTGTCATTAGCAAGTTTTCAGTACTCGATTCTTTACTTCGGCATTTTTGAAGACAAAATTATGTCGGAAGCAAAAAATAAACGGCAGTATAGCGCGGAATATATAAAATATGGATTTATTGAAAATCCCCCAAATCCATCTTCACCTGTGTGCCTTCTTTGTCAAAAAACATTTTCGAATGAAGAGATGAAACCCTCGAGGCTACAAGATCATTTGAATAAAATGCATTCAGATAAAAAAGACAAAAGTGTAACTTATTTTCAAGAACTGGAAAAGAAACACTCAGCTCAGCCAACTGTGTCAAAACTTTTTTCAGCGGCTTAAGCAAGACGACGACGGACTCTGAACTTCCTACAATATCTCCTTGCTATTTGCTCAAACAGGTAAACCTCATTTAAACCTAATTTTACTGGCAATAAAAGAAGTAATAACTACTGTGCTCCATAAACCAGCAGCAGAATGGCTGAAAACATTGAAGAGTCATTGTGCAATCACCTGAAGATTTCTAAATTCTCAATTAAGTTAGATGATATATGATGGAATCGGCCGATACTTGATGAAAATCCATAACTAACGTATTCCAAAAACACTTTATTGTGAGATTTTCATAAATTGTTTTACAAAAACGCAACACGTGTTTCGCCATACAATGGCTTCATCTGGCGTGTCTTTCACGACACGACACAATAAAGTGTTTTTGGAATACGTAAGTTAGATGAGTCCACTTCACCAAGTAAAAAAATTTGGGGGCGCTAGAAAATAATTAATTCTCGATGTGGGCGGTAGACAAAATAAGTTTGAGAACCTCTGATACATTCATGCTGTTAATTTTTTTTATGTTTTCAGCTTATTACTATATGATGTTGCTGAAGTATGTTTCTGCAGAACAACTAGTAAAGAATGGAAATAAAAGGAAATCAGTGATTATTGTAGTAAAAATAGAGTAGCACTAAATACTGCTAAGACCTATCATATTCGATTCTTAACAAAAAATATGAATTCTGATAATGGTCATCTAATTAACAGTCAATGAAAAATCGACAGAAAGCAAAGAGAGTATGAAGTTCTTAGGTGTTGTGCTTGATAGGAAACTTTCATGGAAAAACCATGTCACTACTTTATGTTCAAAACTCAGCACAATCACATACATCATTAGGAATCTGAGGGATAAAGAATCAGCTGAAGTACTGAAAATTTTTTATTACGGATTGGCACAGTCAGTTATGCAATATGGGATAATATGGGGATCCTCAACTCACATACTAGGGTGTTTTTGTTCCCAAAAAAAATCATCAGAGCTATGAATAAAACTCACCCTTCAGAATCTTGTAAGCCACTATTCCAAAATTTTAAAATACTAACGCCACCCTGTCTCTACCCGATATTTTTTATAAAGGACAATGAAAAAACATTTTTAAAGAATGACCAAATATATCCAGATGATACAAGGGAATATTCATCTACCCTTTTCAAGCCTTCTTTCTCATTGGTCAAAATTCCCCAAAATATGTTGGTGTGAGATGTTCCAATAAGATGAAAAATTCAATAGATATGAGCGGTAGCAAGTAATAGACTCATAAAAACGGACAAAACTTCTGAAACAACTTAAATTATAGTAACCAAACATACCGGAGAAAAATGCTTAATTTTATGTCTACTCGTTTAATTGTTTTTTTTGGCGATTTCTATACATGTAAAAATGTCGAACAGAAACGAAAGTATTATTATTACTACTATTTCTGCAGATTGATAGGTGCAACAGGTTGCTGTTGCTTTTTACAAATATATGCTGCACGTTCATAGAAAATCAGGTAACAAATCTTCGAATGAACTGTTGAAATGTTTTATTGGTGAATGTTCTCCGAAATGAGAAAAAAACTGTATGAAATATCAAAATGATAAGTACCTACTCTCAAACTTCGAGATTCATCAAGAACAATATACGATACAATAAACAAAGCATTAAACAACAAAGCATTAAACAAATATCAACAATAACGTTCAAAAAATTCATTGATAACTTAGAGACAGAGGAGGAGAATTTTTACTTTTTTTGATGTGTACTCTACCTACAATATTTTAATTTTCTTGTATAATCATATAATTTTGTATTCAATCATTGTAAAATAGGGGTTTCCCGTTTATACTGAATAAATAAATTTAAAAAAAATGTCCCAAGACATTGAAGACATTAATATAAGATAATTTCTTAAACAGTTTATATTATTATATTTGAAAGATCTCTTCAATTTCCCAAAATCTTATGATCTTGTAGAATGTAGAAGAGTGCGCTGATCAGACAAAAAAATTACGAGATACCTGCCGGTTTGCTACAGCAGGAAGATTGGTATATATTCGGATTGAATGACATGTGAAAATATGTGCATTCCTCATATTGACTAGTAATACGGCAGTAAATCTCCATTCCCTGAACATTGGGTTCTCGAAGAAAATTATTCTCGGACCCAAGGATCACTTATATCATAATATGAGTAGAGTGATTATTGTTTGAAGAAGCTGACATGCCTTTCGAACGGGCCGTAGCTCCAGGAAAATGAGTAGCAACTCATTTTGAGGTTGAAAATTATTAATAAAAACATTAAGCAGTGAAATATTTTCAAAAGAGTTTTTGGAGGTTGCCTCTACTGTTTTGTCATTTTTATTTGTATATTTGGCTACGTTCTGTCGAGCAGTAACTAATAATGTCCCACACCATTTCTTTTTCGAACAAATAAAAAAGTCCTCACTACATGCCCATGCAGTTAAACAATGTTTTTGTGTTACAGGAAAGTTAGACTGAGGAAACTAGTTAGTTGCAGAAAAGATTTTGAACAGAAGGATTATTACTGGAAAAGAAATGGTGGATAGATGTGTTGATACAGTTAGATGTGGAATATGTATAATAAATAAGCAAAATGAATGAAAGTTGTTAGTGCGTGTATTTGATTTGTTATGTAGATGTTGATGTGACTATTGAAGATATGAATACTTTCACCAATAAGCGCCCTAGGTTGTTATGCATGTGTTATTAATTCAAAGTATTAATTAAATTATACCATTACTGCATTGTATACAATAAGTATTACTGGTCATACTGTTAATAACAATTTATCTAAGTAACATAAATTAATGATTACTCAGTCTTTGTGGAAGAAACGTTCATACCTATCAAATTGAAAAGGTATTCAAAAAGTATTATTTATAAATACGACATCATGATATGAATAATTTTGATTTTTGCATTATTTTCTGCAACATAGTATCGGTGACAACAACTCCAATCTCCCTACCGAAACTAAGAAAGCTCTCATCCCCCGAGAAAAATCCTTCCGAACCCTCCGCATATACGGTGTCCCATAAATATACAAACCCAATGTTCCTCTTCGCCCCATTGTCAGTGCTTTCGGTTCTCCGACATAAAACCTTGCTAAATACCTTGCAAACACTCTCCAACCCCTTGCAGAACAGTCCTCGTCATACGTACAAAATTTATTTCACTTCATTGAAATCCTCAAAAACCTCAACATCCAACAGACTGACATCCTTGTGAGTTTGGACGTAGTGTTTTTATTCACTAATATTTCCATATCAGATACATTGAACTTTCTCGAAACAAAACACCAAATTTCCAAAGGCACCCTCAACCTCATCTGTCACTGTATATCCAGCACATACTTCCTCTTCCAAGATACTTTCTACAAACAAGTAAAAGGCGCCCCCATCAATTCTCCTCTTTCACCAGTCCTTGCAAACCTTTTCATGGAAGACTTCGAAACCGAGGCTATTGACAGATTCCACCACAAACCCTCTTGCTGGTTCAGATACGTAGATGACGTTTTTGTTATATGACCCCACGGCTCCAAACTCTCCATAATTTCCTTTGTCACCTCAACGACCTCCACCCAAATATAAAATTCACAATGGAAATTGAAACCAATAACTCCCTTCCATTGATGTCCTCATCAGAAAATCCGATAACTCCTTAACCCACACGGTCTACAGGAAACCAACACACACAAACTCCCACCAACTCCGTCTTGAATTATCTCATCCATAGATCTATCAACCACAGACCATCAATTGACAGATCCATCCGTTGCAACAAACTTCTTCGCCCAGTCCCAAAGATCCAAAAGACAATAACGTTCCCACAAAGCTTTCCTTTCCTACATTGAAGGTGTAACTGACAAAATTGGCCGAATTTTAAAAAACAGGACATAAAAACGATATTCACCGCCAACAATCAAATTTCCACAATCCTCCGTTCTCCCAAGGACAAAATTGTCAATGAACCCCATGCTCCGATTGCGATAGAACAAATGTAGGCCAGACCAACAGACGTGTGACAAGTAGAGTAAACGAACATCAAATTGCTGCTCGAAAGTCAGACCCATCCTCAGCTCTGTCCAAACATCATCAACAGGACACAACATAGACTTTGCGAACACGAAGCCCATCGCCACATCGAAAACCGAAAGCAGTTCGGATACTTTTGGGGCACACCTCGTATAAATATACATTTCTTATACATGCATCAATACCAATTTAACAAAAAAAATCTAAAGTCAATGATTTTGTGGATTATCTTTATTTATTGTCACATGCTGAGAATGTTATGTTTCGTAATGAAGAATAATGATGTGAAGTTTATGAATTGTGTTATGGAATGTTCCGTGAGATATAACAAATGAAGCTAGATCAAGCAAACCAGTGTGATATTACTAGCCACCCATTTATTCAATGGAATTAATGAATATTAACAAATTAAGAACGAAATAGTTGATAGAACGGTACATAACACAAAAACAATGTTTAAAAATTAACAAGTGTACCAAGCTGCACTCACCCAATTCCGGAATCTCTCTTTTTTGTATAATATATTTTTTTATAGGACTATTTCCATCAAACCCCGGCGTCCAGCTGACGTTGACAGCTCTCTGTTGTCCAGTGTCCAATCTCTCAGCTTTCACGTTGGTAGGAGAAAAGGGTAGTTCGATGACTGATAGTTTTGATGACCTGGTTTCATTGCCTCCTGGAGACTGAACCGAACAAGTATAGTGTCCGACATCAGAAGCTCTCACCGCTTCGATTTCTAAAGTACCATCACTCAGAATCCGAATCCTCTGACTTCCTCTTGGATTTATCATCCTTAAAAAATACTGTATTTCAATCCATCTCATAATGATATTATTTTTGATCTCATGAGGTCTTTGACACTATCAATAATAATAATAATATTAGCCTTTATAACCCGATAGTTAAAAACCACTTACAGGGTTAACTAAGAATGTTAAAAAAGTAATATACTTAGGTGCTTATAACTAAAAGTTTCAATTTGAGAAAATGAAGAACAAAAGTATATTAAAATAAAAAATCATGTTCTTCTTCAAGATACGAGGTATGATTAATAGGTGGATTGAATCACTTAGTGAAGGAAACAAATTGTTACAATTAGAAAATACAAATCAAAAGAAACTTGTCTGAGTTGGAGTATTGTTCAATTCAATTCAATTCAATTCAGTTCTGGTTCAATACTGGGTTCTTTATTGTTTATACTATTTGTGAATTAAATAAAAGATATATACATACACACTAATACAGAGTTATTCCATCATTAATAATACAGAAACACATATTAATACTCAGTGGGAAGTCAGAAAAAAATTAAGAAAATCAATGGCTCCAGTATTGAACCTCGTGCTACCCCAACATCAACTATTTTATTTTACATCATGATTCTAACATAGAGCCTCACACTATTGATGAGGACAAATTGAAAATGTTCGAGATGAAAATACCAAATTAATTTTTTTCAGGTATCTACCAAAAAACAAGACTAATTCACTAATCCCAAAAAGTGTACAATACAATAAAATCCAAATTTGAAAACATAAAAATATTGGTGTAAGGGTTTATTGAAAGTTTTATCAAAAAGTTGTTATTTGTTTTCACTTAAATTTGTTATTATATCAGTAACTTTTTTGTTTGGAAGTTTTATATGAAATGAATAAAATTGAATTGAAAATCAACTTTTTTCTAGTGTCATATAATCGAGAAAATATTCAGAAAAGACATTTGAAAATACTCTTTATGGAAAAAAACATTAGCTTGAATCAAGTTGAGGTCTCTTCTCACCATGTTAAATAAAGAGCCCTCACGACTTCCAAAACAAAAATAAGGTGATATTCAATAAATAGTTATGGCTTCGATGGTTAGAACTTCTATGAACGGCTCAAGGACCAACTAATCAAAATTATGAAAACTTTTTCAGCCAATATATAGATTGGTTACGAAAGAATTTATGAAAAAGAGTTGAGTTTCTTAAACCTTTCTTTTCTACATTTTTATTGAAAATACTTACTGCTTGTCACGAAACCAGTCCAGCTGGTAAGGTACAGCTGGATCAGAAGATATTTTACATTGCAGTGTAGCTGTTTGCCCCAAAAGAACCCTTGTATCCACAGGTGGTTGAATTATTTGTGTACGAACTAGAAAAAATTATTAAATTCATAAGAATGAGTTGAATGTGATTACAAGAGAAATTTTCTTATAATAATTCATCAAAATTAGGGTGGCAATTGTAAAATACTAGTATTAAAAAAGTACCTGTGAAAATTTTATAACTTTCAATATCCACTGCACAGTATTGAACGAAATATATTAAAACAAATAATAGAAACATCAAGATAAATAAAAATGAAGGAATTTGAAAAAAAAATCATTTGAATTAAGTATGTACTTTTTTAAAATAAAAAGGAAATAAAGAAAACTAAAGTAAACAAATGTTTGAATTTACTGGCTTTCTTCTTCTTTTTTATAAAAATAAGGGTCTCAATGTAACCAATGATAGTCAGTCCCTAGGGGTGAATAATATATTCAGCATACATCGCTTTATAAATTATGCCAATAGATGGCGGATTTTCCATGAGTTATCATAAATTTTCAGAGATTAATGATCGCTGTGAATACTGTGAATGATTACTGTGAATAGATATAATAAAGCGAACTTAGAGTTATTGGTATAGTTTGAGGTCAATCTTTGATCTGATGAGTAATATGAATTTCCTATAAATATACCTAACAATTTTGATAACTCTCAAACTTGAATACGAATTACTGATATACCCTAGAGTTACCAGATTAAGACTGAAGGAAATTTTAACTCAATAAAATTGAGTATTTTACAGAGGATGAAACTTATGAAAAATTTAGTTAGTTTTTTCGAAATTGATTAATTCAGAAATAAATTTTAAATGCAGTTGATGAATAGATGAATGTCAATTTATTTCAGCAGACACTTAGAACACTGCACAAATGCAAAAACAATCCATACAACGAATTAGAAGCAGACTAGTCTCGAGGGTGGATGAAATATTGTTAGTAACCCAGAATCAATACTGACCCAACACTTGCAAATGAGCCGATCCTCGTACTTCCCCGGCTTCGTTGGATCGAAGGCAAGTGTACTGACCCGCATCAGATTCTTTGACTGAGGCTATAAGTAGGTCCCCGGTGTCCAAAATCTGCACCCTGCTCGAAGTCTCTACTTCTTTCTCACCTGGAAATTTAGTAGCAAAATGCACAAGTTCCATGCGGGGTGACACATTTTAAACGTAACACATATGCCAAGCTTGCTTGCTTTTTGTGATTTAGATCGCTAATCTTACCGTTATGTATCCACGTGGTGTTTGGGAGCGGCGCCCCAACCGCCCTACAGCTCAGAGTGGCGTCATTTCCATCAAGTACTGTCATGTTCGAGGGTCCATATTCCATTACAGGTTGCGCAGCTGAAAATTCGTTGAAGGTATGTAAAGAAATTTGAATGTATAAAGAGGGGCATGCAAAATGAAATATGTACACAATGAACACTTTCACAGAAAACCTAATAGATAACGCAAACACATTTTTCTCAACACATTCTGAAAAAAAAAGTAACAAACTACACATTTTGTCACATCAATGATGGAACGGAACAAAATTCATTCTTTGAACTGAATAGGTGAAATAATTTTGGTATATCGAATGCCTTTTGGATTGTAAAACGAACCTTCAACTTTGCACAGAATTATGAATCATTCAAATTCCAACGAATTCTTGATACCCCTTTTCTCAGAATCTGACATGTGTGAACATTTTTTGAAGAAAACGTGACCTTTATTTTGAAAGTGTACAATTTGATATAAAATTCATACCCGAAACTCCACCCCCACCCTAGTATTTTCTACAATGGTATGGAGGGCAACTGATGTTCAGTTGGAAGGTCTTTTATCTCTCCATTACATCTGTAAGATCTAAAAACTGATTCATTTGTTACCGATAACTTTGATGTTGAACCTTCCATTCGAGAACATTTAATGAAAATCCAACTTCACGGCATAGAAATCATAATGATCAACTACTATTCGAACTATTTATGTTCAAGGCCGTTAAAAAATGAAACTGCTGATCCAATTACTTCAGCTATTTCGAGCAAGCTGAAAAATGCCAAGTATGTCCAGAGAAACTTAAAATCTGATAAGGGTACTGAATTTCATAATTCCACATTCTCATTCTTGATGAGAGAGAAGCATTTCAAACATTATTTCCTTTTTAGTACAAAATAGGCTGCAATTGCGGAACGAGTAATCAGAACATTGAAGAGCTGGCTTTAGAGGCCTTTTTCACTTCAAGGCATTTGTAAGTGCTTGAATATTCTTCTATCACCAGTTGATATAACTACAAAGTTCATCGTACTATCGGCATGAAGCCAATAGAGGTAATCCCACGAAATTGGCAGACTATGCAGAACCTGAGAAGGTAATTCAAAATCGGCGATATGAGCCGAACCAGCATTTTCGCTAAATATTATACAGCAAATTTTACAACTGAACTTTTCAATGCCAAACACGTTTACATAAAGAGCATATATGCGCTAGAAGTTATGAATGGCCAGCCAACCAAGAGAAAGAATAGGTTTCAAATAAACTTGTATTTTGTTTGTGGCCGATGTATCAAGCTATACTTTTTAATTTGTGGTTATCGATTGAAAATGATATTTTAGATTTTATATAATTAGAATAATTATTAGATTATTAGAATAATTAGTTTTGACCGATAGAAAATCTAGGAAACTTCATTTTGGCTTTTGCAGTGTTTCATCTATAAGTATTTTTTTGTTATCAGAGGGGACAAGTAATGTGTATTCTGGAGGGTGGCATAAATGTATCTCTAACTAAAAAAGTCATCTAGCCTGAATGTATTCTGTTCCTAAAGTGATTCTGAATTGCTTGGTGCAAATGACCTACTAGGTAATTATTGATGAAAAAAAATTATTATGAAACTTTAATCAACACACAAAAAATAATATTGTTCATTTGATAATTCGAAAAAGTAAAATTGAATTATTCTCAAACCAATTCTTTCAGAAAGACATACATTTCAAAAATTCAATCTCTAGTTTCTCAGTCAAAATCCACTAACAAAATAATTTGCAAAACGGTGCCAACAAAACTAACACAACTACGGGTGCAAAAGGTGTAATAACATAACATTCCAAAAATTTTTCGTAAACCCTTACATGGCGCAATATAAATAAAGCTTTTTTTTCCGTGCCGTTCCCCCGAACTTCTCAATCTCACGATTTTAGCTGCTAAACTCCGAACTTTTCTGTGCTCTGCATATTAATAAAAGGGTGTTTCGGTTAGGGATGAAATCGTTATGTAATAGAATCCGTCCACCTCTTCTTCCGCTACAGAGGGAACGTATCACATTATATATAACTTTGTATACAAAAAGTCGGGTACAAAGAAGTTTGATTCGAACAAAAACGAGTTCGGTAATTCGATTTTCAACTTTGTACTTTACGCCATGATAAAACAGGCACGGTTGTTTTATTTGATTGCCTTCAGAAACAAGAACAAGAGATATTTTAAAATAATACAATCGAGGTAGTGATTTTGATTTTTCCATACATTGTGGGAACATATGATGGTTTGAAAACAAACTGAAATTATTTACATAAATATGATATTTGTTTCATGGAGAAACACAGCCACTGCATTAAAATCCTTTAAAGCCCTAAGGGCGTTACCAGTGAGAAGGAATAGGAATATATCTATTGGATTTGAATCGTAGATTCTATTCATTTGGAAAAACTGTCTCGCTTATTTTCTCCATAAAAAAGAGTTCTTGAAAACTGTACTTAAAGGTGTGATAAGATACATTTCGAAGCAACGAGAAGCTATATTTCAATACATAAAAGTACCTGCAGTAGAGAGGCATATTCCCAACCTTTCTCTGGCGAACTAGGTTGCTTGTACTTGTGATGCACTGTTTGGAACCTTTGGTGTAGTAAAGCAATATTACTGAAGTTTTATCCCAACACCAAACCGTTGTTTTTAACACCTCGACACGTGCTTCAATCACCAAGTGATCACCTTCAAGAGAAAGATTAAACTCCTCTTGAAGATGATCACTTGGTGATTGAAACACGCGTCGAGGTGTTGAAAAATAACGGTTTGGTGTTGGGATCAATCTCCAGTAATAGGTTGCTTGTGATGTCTGAATCTCCGATAGATCTAGCAGCTTAAGGGAATGCGTAGGTGCATAACTATAGCTATAGTTTGAGCAATACTCCAAAAAAGATCTCATTGAAAGTTTATGAAGCACCCGCAGTTTTAGAGCTGTCAACAAGTTTCTATAAAGTTGTATTCCTGTAACGTAATTATACCAAGACATATTAATATCCAATTTGACATCAAATCACCAAAAAATTGATCGACATAGCTTGCCATGACATGATGTCAGGTCCTCCAACATTTGGAGAGAGGCTAGATGGACTGCATACAGACTTGTGCACATTTGGCAATTACACAAATCAATTTAATGCGGAGCGTAACAGAATGTTGGTTGACACTGGAAGTCACAGCATTCTGGAAATGACCTCTGACTTTATGCCTCCAACTGTCAACTACGAACTGCCTTATAAAGTACTGGATCCTCCGGGCGAAGGAAATATTAAGAGCAGATAGTTGTTGGGTCACAGATGGATCAAAAACACCTTCCGGTTCTGGTGGAGATGTTTTCAGTCGTAGACCCAGGACAGAGATATCAAACTGCCTAGGAACCTATGCGACTGTATTTCAAGCGGAAATTTACGCTATTGAATTGTGTGTGGAGAGATTGGGAGAATCCAACCTCACACACAAGTCAATAAAAATATTCTCGGACAGTCAAGCGGCGTTGGAAGCTCTTGGGTCCTACCGAGCAACATCTAAATTGGTACCAAATTGCCAAAAACGACTCTCCTCGATAGGAAGACTTAACAGATTATCTCTGGTCTGGAATCCTAGTCATACTGGCCTGGAAGGCAGTGAGGCTGCCGACTACCTTGTAAAGGAGGATGCTGCAAGCAACTTCATCGGACCAGAACCTGTCATTGGCATTGCTTAAGGCTTTGCTAAACAAAGATTGAACACCAGGATGGCAAGAAGATTTATGGACTTCTGGAAGAATCTTCCAGGATTGGCTCACTCCAAGGCTTCCATTCACCCTTCGAAGCTTGATACCAAACAGTTGTTGGACTACAGTAGGGATGAACTACGATGCCTAACAGACCTTTTGTCATTTGAATCATCATATGCAGAGACTCGGACTGTCGGAAGACAGTGTGTCGTCGCCTCTGTTTGGAAAATGATGAAACAGCAGAGAACATACTTTGTGTCTGCCCCGCTGGGCAGGCCTAACCTAACCTTCAACATTCCTCCTTAGAGAAAAATGATGGGTGGGTTTTAGTGGTATGAAATTCTATATGATTATTCTCACCGGAAACCGATTTTTCCAGATGTCTATTAATTAATGAAAACTATTTTTGACGCTGAAGATGTATATTGGCCAATAGATAGTTGATAATAGATGATAGAATCGTTGACTATTTGTAAGGAACATTCTTTGAGAAAGTCAAATAATAGCCACGAACAAAAACGATTCGACAAATTGCAACATCGACATTTAATTTGAGAACGATCATGCAAGAGGTACACGGTCAAAGGTCTTGTTAACATGAAGCGCAACATGCCGAGAGTATCCGTGTTTCTAGCTGACATTGTTCGAATGTTGAAGCATTCCAGATATTCCATAATGGGTTTAGTAACAGCTTACTCCATAAGTTTCGATGCCACTGATAGTAATGCAACTGGTGCTTGGTTATTTAGAACATTTGTGTTGCCCTTTTCGAGTACAGGTTGAACAGTCTTCCAACAAAAAGAAAAAAAAACTTTTCGTAAGACAAGTTGAAGATCCTACAGATTCCACGTGCAAGATCATCGACGAATTTTTAAAGTAGGATAATATGTGCTTCATTAGGACGAGAAACTTCGTTTATCTTGAGCTGTTGCAAATGAAATTAACTATTGACTATTGTATACATCATTAGAGTAAATGGTAATCTGTGAATGAACAAAAGCATCGTCGTAGACCTTAAATATTTGTACAATTATTGCAATTTCCAAAAAATGCCTCTTTTCATTGTATCACTTGAAATTTAAGAGACATTTTGAGAGAGTAGAATTTTTTTTTCAGTTATATTTTTCTCTATTAGGTATTATTCAAAAATTCAATCTATTCACAAAATGGACTATTTTTTGTTCAAATTATGAATACTTTGACCCATTACATGATGAAAATTATTAACTTTATACTGGTGATCAGTAACCGATGATTCTACTGTGTAGCGAAACGCGTTTTGAATAAAATTTATCGTGAGAATCCTATAATTAATATCACGGATAATTTTCGTTGTATTGAGGTTTGATATTTCTGTAGGTTTTACTGATGGGTAAATATACAAAAATTCAGATGTTTTATACGATCGTTTTTTTTCATCGCGATATACAGTGAGTTTCAGAAAGTTTTGCACCATATGAGAAACTTTTTTATTCATTTTCATTCATTTGTTCGTTATTCCTGATAAAAATTGCTGTATTGCGGGAAACTTGGATTTGAGTTGTCGAAATTCTAAATTTCCGAACGGTGTAGAATATACAAGAATAACATTTTCTGACAAATGAATAATGAAAAAGTTTCTCATATGGTACAAACTTTGAAACTCACGGTAGTTTTTAAGGCTGCTGCGTTGAATTTTTCAACAACTCAAAAAATCTTCATAATACAAGAGTACCTTTCGAACCGACTAAGAGCAAAATTAACTTCGTAAAATTTTACACTAACATTCTTTCTTGAGTGGAAGATTTTGCATATGTATACCCGACTTTTTGTGACAAAACATAATGTGATACCTACTTTCAAAAATTAAAAAAATAATACTCACTTTTAACCTTCAGCCAAGTTGACAACGAGCTTTCTCCAGCTTCATTTCTTGCAAAGCACTGGTACATTCCATTATCGCTAATCAACAGTTTTTTAATCAACAGCGAATTGTCCTCTTGTAACACATACCTGCCAAAAGCAATCTCTATCAAAAACATGCATGAAAACATTGTCATATCACCATGATTCATTTCTGTCAAAATCGACATGAATTATATAGAAAAGTGGGTAGGGAGTTCAGGAGAATTGGTGTTGTATCAGATAAAATGGAACAACCAGAGGAGAAATAACTACAGAGGTATCACCTGCATCCTAGAAAAGCAGTAAATAGACAGAATGTTGCTTGGTGCCTGGGAAAGAAACAAATTAGAAAATGATGATTAGGAAGATCGAAATCATCAGTTAACTCTGGTGATGGCAGATAAACAATAAAATGCAGGATACGATGTTATCTGCTGTTCCATGCGCACGTTGACAGGCATGAATATCTTGTGCTGGGACCAGATGACCCTACGTACTATCGCGGGCATATCAGGCCTGACGTACTAGACATCGCGCTTCTCAGAAACGTCTCTCTGACTAGCGAAATTTACGTTCTGTCGGAACTGGATTCCGATCATAATCCAGTAATCCTGGTATTGGGAGATGATCTTCCTTCCCCTGATTATCGCATAAGATCTAAGACGGACTGGGATGTCTTCACAGCCCAGCTCGGAGAGATGCGTGCCCCTCCTGAGGTACTCGACTCTCCCGACGAACTCGACGCGGCAGTTGAACGTTTCGAGCTTTCCGTGAATGATGCGTTTCGAACGGCCACCTCCAGGGAGGAGTGCCAGCTGAGGAGCTATAATGAGTTTCCCCCTCGTATCAAAGCCTTGATACGAGAGAGAAATCGCCTGAGAAGGCTCTATCAGCGAACCCTTTTCCCAGGGGATAAAATCGCGGCAAATAGGATGGCCAACCAAGTCAAGCAGGTGGGAAGAGCTTTTGGAATCCTTCGAACCTGGGAGTGACGAGCTTTGGCGAGTCACTCGCAGGCTCAAGGGGAAGAAGACTGCTTTCTCACCCATTCACGGAGAGCGCGGAGTGTGCTACTCCCCCGCTGACAAAGCGTTAGCCTTTGCTGACACGATGGAACGTCAGTTTCAGCTTAACGTTGACGAGACGACGACGACGACATCGACCGCGATATGCTGTTGGAAGACCGGTCACCGAATCCTCAGGGAAGATGACGACGACATCCGTCCATCTTCTGCGGAAGAGCTGAAGGGATACGTCGAAACTACAAAGGCCAAGAAAGCTTCGGGGGACGACTCAATAACTAACAAGTTGTTGAAGAGGCTCCCGGACAACTGCGTCGAATGTTAGCTGAACATCATAAACAGTTCGTTATCCCTCAGACACTTTCCCAGAAGGTGGAAGCATGCGATCATCGTCATTATCCCAAAACAGGGTCAGAACCCGCTGTTTCCAGAGAACTATCGCCCGATCAGTCTACTCTTGTCGGCGGCTAAGCTGGCTGAGGCTCCAAAGGCTCAACGAAGAAGTTGAGAACCGAAATGTTCTGCCTGATGAACAATTTGGCTTCAAGAGAGAACACTCCACTGAGTTACAGGCTCTAAGGCTGGTCGAAAACACCATCCACGAGCTTAATTCCAACAAAAAAGTGCATATTGTGCTACTCGACATCTCGAAGGCCTTCGACCGTGTTTGGCACGAAGATCTTCTGCACAAATTAAACGCGTTCGACCTGCCTTGAGGCCTCATCCGGTGGATTGGGTCTTTCCTGAAAGACAGGACATTCCAGGTTAGAGTAGAGGGCTCTCTGTCTAACAGAGAGATCTTGCTGGAGTGCCACAGGGGGCCGTACTCTCTCCGACGTTGTACTCACTTTACACCAGTAACCTTCCCAGGCCCGAGCGAGTGAAGATATCTCTGTACGCCGATGACACGGCTCTCCTCTCATCTTCCATGGGTCGATAGCTCCGCGTCGTCTACATGGAACGTGCATTGGACGACCTCGAGCGCTGGTACCTTGATTGGAAGATCCGAGTGAACCCGGAAAAGACTCGGGCGATATCTGAGGACATTCATGCCGCCATACCATCAACACCCACCATCAGTTATGAGCCGTTTGTTTTTCTGGCAAACATCAGTCCAAAGGGTAAGGGAGCCAGGCTCCAACCTGTTTGAAATCGACGACGTGCAGGTATTTGCTGTTTAGAATGAACATAATGAACTGGGGAAATAACTAGAGTGGTATCATCTGCATTTTAGGCAAGCAGCAAATAGACGAATGAATGAAATAACAGAATGGTGCTTGGTGTCCAGGTGAAAAACAAATTAGAAAATGATGATTAGGAAGATCGAAATCATCAGTTAATTCTGGTGTTGACAGATGGCAGATAAACAATAAAATGCAGAATACGATGCTGTTTGCTGTTCAGAATAAACATAATCAACTGGGGAGTTGAGAAAAATGGGTTTTGTATCAGATAAAATGAAACAACTGGAAGAGAAACAACTAGAGAGGTATTATCTGCATTTAAAACAAACAGTGACTAGACGAATTAATGAAATAATGGAATGGTACTTGGTGTATAGGTAAACATGATTTAGAAAACGGCTATTGGGAAATTCTGAATCAGTAGTAAATCTGGTTAGAATTAAATTACCTAGTGCTGCAGCAGTAGTAGAAAATAACTGATTTTAAATTTATACACAAGGATTTTGACTCAATAAACTGAAGGTTCTGTCTTTTTGCCTTGTCTAAATAAAAAAACATTCAGAATTGCCTAGCTAGTTTAGTAAAACGTAAGCTTTGTTAACAGCTTTTTAAAGTATGATCAGGTATATTCAATGGAATATACCTGACTACTTAAAAAAAGGAATTTTCATATAGTCACCTTTTGTCAGCGAGATCGATCTCCTCAGAGTTCTTGTACCAAGTGATGTTCGGCTTCGGAATCCCCAGGACATCACACGGTAAGCTGATGGAATTGGCGTAATCCCCAAGAGTCTCTGGTTTCGAATTAGTGAAAAATCTAGGTTTTTCTAGCACTTCTATTTGAGCAGATGCTTTCACAGTGGGAAATCCTCCAGACCTTAAGTTAACCTGGCACTCGTATTGTCCGCTGTACGTGGTATTGACCGAAGCCAAGATGACGCTCCTGTTCCAAATGTCGTTGAAGGAGTACAATATTCCAGTACTTTCGATCGGTATTCCATCTTTGAACCATAATGTTTCTAGTTCGTATACAGGCCGCGCGTTTGCTATGCAGTCTATTGTCGTTTGAGGTGTCCCCTTCACTATCTGTAAGTCTTCTGGGCCTATTATTATTTCGGGAGCTATCTCTTTGTCGTCGTTTGTTTTTTCTATCGTCAGTCTTATGAAGGCGCTGTTTTCTTCCTTACCTTCTTGAGAGTTGATTGCCCGAGCTCTGAAATCCAAATAATTACTTGTGCTGTTATGATGCGATCAAACCGATCTTTGCAAAAGACAGAGACATAATCGAATTATAGATCTGACAAAATCGATTATTACTTTCAACTTTTGCCGAGTAGTATAGTGTGCTATGATTATAAGTACTGCTATCCGTGTTAGGAATCACACGTTAAAAGTTAAGACCTCGTTAATCCTTAGCTCGCACAAGTTTCGACTTCTGAGGGTTGTCGTTCGTAGGGGTGCGACAGCTGGTTAACGGAAAAACAGATTTTAAACAGATTTTTAAACAGATTTAAACACAAACGCATATCTTCAGAATGCGATTAATAATTAATAATAATAAATACACTTTATTGTCAAAAGAGTTACTCTTATTAACACAGCAAGATTCGGGGGAAAACAGTCAATTCAACATACATGAAAAAATTGTAATTATACAAAAAAAATAATACATAGTACAACAGAGAAATGTATTATATTTGTCATATTAACAAATATCAATTGTACTATAATAGAAAAAGTAAAATAAAAATGAAAAGAAGATTGTGAACAAAACTCTACAAACAGATTAAAAATACTTATGTGCAGACATTCGATTAAAGTTATATTAAATTCTTGCAATCTATAATAGAGTTCCATTAATAAGAAAATCTTTAGGTGGATATGGGTGAGATTTAAACTGAGTATCTGACGTGGACAGGAATTTAAGGGAATCTCAGATTTATGTTTCTAACACAAAAATCGCATACAGCGACGAATTTTTGTAAAACAAGCCTTCAAGAATCTCGCCGCCATTGTTACGAAATACATCGATCAATTTTGGTGTTAATCTTTGTATATGAGGTGGCGATTCATTTTTCAATGATATTCTGTTGACTTGTTTGATTTCTTCATTATTTTGCGTGTTCACGCAATGAATACGTACATGTATGTTTTATCCCCTCTCTGACAGAGTCCAGCCACTTCATAAAGAGGAGTTACTTGCAAAGCACTTTGTGATTCATAATTACTCCACGAGAAAGAAAGATATAGTATACCAACAATTTTCTCGCTAAAGTGTAAATCAACATTCTCCAAATTATCTTGGCAATAAATGTTACATGTAATTCACTTTATTGGAACCTTTGGTGTAGTAATTAATATTACTGGAGTTAAATTCCAACACCAAGCCGTTCTTTTTAACACGTATCGAAGTGTTAAAAATAATGGTTTGGTGTTAGGATTAAACTCCAGTAATATGGGAACTTCACTTTACATCCGAGACAAAAGAACAATCAAAACAGTGAAAGACTCAAAAGGGAGAACCGGCTCCAAAGAAGGTGAAGACTGTTTCATCTGCAAGCAATGTCATGAGATTCAACATCTACGCCCATTCAGGTTCCATCAGGAGTACCGCAGGGATCCCATATGGGCCCACTGCTGTTCAACTTGTTTTTATTGGACATAAAGTTTGTTTTCAAATTTTCAGAATTTTTTATGTTTGCTGATAATCTCAAACTTTATCGAGCAACTACTGGCCAGGAAGATGCTGAATTAGTTAAAAAGATCTCGAAGCCTTTTCCATGTGGTGTAGAAATAATTTGTTAGAGGTAAACATTGACAAGTGTCAAATCATTACGTTCGCCAAAATTAGAAGTCCAATATTCTTTGAATATATATTGAATAATAGAGCTCTTAAAAGAGAAACATTTATTCGCGATCTGGAAGTAAAATTTCATAGCAAAATTAATTTTAATCCTCAAGTATCAAAAATTTCAATTAAAACAAAAACGATTTTATATTGTGCTTTCGTAAGATCCATTCTTGAATATTGTTTGGTTATATTGGGGCCCATACTATAGTGTAAATATCGATTTACACTGAGAATGTTCAAAAGAAATTCTTAAGGAACTGTGCTTTTCACTTTGGTATTCAACGAAATGAATATGAGTACAGTCAACTCTTAACCAAATTAAATATAAAATCATTGAAAGATAGAAGAATTTCTATGAACTTGAGTTTTCTCTTCAAAATAATAAATATTGAGGTAAACTGCCCAGAACTACTTCAACTAATAACTTTTCATATCAAACAAAAAGATACGAGAAATCCTTACATTTTTTATATACTTACATATTTTCCATAGCAATAATGGTTTGAACAGTCTGATGCCTCGTATTTTGAAGCTGGGAAATCAATTTCATAATAACTTAGATCTGTTTAATGTATCACTTCAGGTCTTTAAAAATCAATTGAAAAAGCTATAGTGTTTTCGAAGCTTTTCTTTGCCTTACCATTTTCTTTTAAGTACCAGATTTGTTACTTCTTTTTTCTTGTAAGTACCAGAATTGTTTCATCTTTAAGTAATATGGTCACTAGACAAGGATTTATTAATATTTCGTATTTCACACTTTGCTAAATGTTTTGTAAAATTGTAAATTGTAATGTAGACATCAGACATGAGCATTCAAATATACTTTGTAGTTCCTCACACTTGTTAAATATGTTTTTGTAAATTGGCTTTGCCGTTGAATAAATAAATACATAAATATTGCTACCTCATGCACCATATTCGCCAGATTTAGCTTCCTCTGATTAGTGTCTGTTCCCAAACGTGAAAAAAAAAGTGTATAGAGCTGTTAGGAGATTATGTTGGAAAATTTTTGTGTTTCCTTTGTTGGGCCGGATACTTCTGGGCCCACCCTCGTATATTTAGTTTGAACTATGAATTCTCAAGCTCTTTGTTTATCGTATTGATTAGTCCACTAACGTTTTTCCATTTATAATATTAAATACTGTATTTTATAGGTGTAAAAATATTGATTGATGAAGTGAGTATTACTTACTTGCTTACTTACTTACTCAAGTAAGCTATTGACTACTGTCAAAACTTACCTATATGCTTTCTCGTCTGAAGGTTCGGTCGATAAAATAATCAGCTGATTGTTTTTCGAATAAGCGTATTTTTGTCCATATGGCGTAATACCTTCATCGGTTTGCCACGTGACGTCCGGCGGTGGTGTTGATTCGATTTCTGGCAAATCTAAGATGGCGGCATCGCCTTCTTTGACTGATAGAGATCTCTCGCTTTGATCTTCGAATATTCCCATATCTGAAAACAAAATCATTTTGTGTAATAACTACTTTCATGAGATTAATGTTTCCGAATCGCAATAAATAAGTCTCCTTTCGAGTCGTTTGTATATATTAGGTTATTTCAAAAGTTTTTTCCGTTTCCATGTCATGTGTTTTTGTAGCTATACAGTGTGTAAAAGCCAAATGGAATAAATTCATTATTTCTGTTACTGTACATATTTAAAATAAATATAGTTTAAAAAAACTTAAAAACACGGCTTTGAAGAACATCGAACTGAAAAGTTAAAAATATTTTTTTTAAATAAGCTAACAATAACGAACGAAAAAAGCGACAGGCGCTTGATATACAAAAAATATGGCACAAAGCGCCGACGCTTTTTTCACAATAATACTAATATTTTTCGTTCGTTATTGTTTCAAGATTATTTAAAAAAAATATTATTAACTTTTTAGTTCGATGTTCTTTAAAAACGTGTTTTTTAGTTTTGTTAAACTATATTTATGTTTCATTTTTTAGTCCGATTCATTGCCAAAAATATTTTTTTTTAAATTCTACCCACTAGTATTATAAATCTTCAACAGACGGCGTACGAATGTAAAATTTCTCTCAAACAACATAATAAAGTTTGAGGTCTCAAATTCTATAGTAATACTGAGATGTATTAAGTCTCCAACAGAGGGCGGACAGTTGTAAAATTTGTTTCGAAGTAAAGATCAAATTTGCAGTAATAATTTCAAAAACAATTCAGTCTTGATGTTTTGATTTGAAGTTTCATTCAAAATATCAATGGACTAAAAATATTTTTTCTGTGAATAATTTCATTTTTCAAATCAATCTTTTGATTTAATATGTATGTCAAGCACCTCAATTCTAATTTTTCGATTTTTTGAAATATTTGAGTAACTGAATTTTTTAGGTATACAATTTACGAAAAAGGTTTTCATTGTTGAAATCCATATTCTGGTTTGCTTTCAAATAATCGAATTAGATTTTAAAATGTATCTTCCGTTTCGTTCAAAACTTTTTTCTGTACTGAATCACGGGTAATTGTAAATATTCAAATATTTCATCTGTAGTACAAAATTTCGCTAACACTTATAATTCTTAAAATATGTTTTTTATTTTGATTTTCTTTTGAACAACCTATCAAGGATGTTACGTATAGCGGCATCTGCCCGCGAATAACTGAAGCAATAATGCCGATAATTCTGTCAATACAGATCCTGAGCTTGAGAGTTACAAACAAACATACATACAAATAAATATACATACAAACAAACATACATACAAACAAACATACATACATACATACATATAGGTGAAGCTAATATAAAGAGTGTAAAAAAACTCGAAACACGTCAACGTAAAAACGCCACTCCTACCTTCAACCCCTTTCGAATGACATGTACAACCCCGATGTTTCAAATGGAAAGTATAGGTTTGTGACATTTAGTTTGAAAGGTCTCTTCATTCTCTATTCCAAAATGTCGATCGGCACATTCGACATAGTGTGGACTCGCCTTTACGTTGGCAAAAGTGCCATGACTCAATATACCAATTGAATTGAATTGTATGAGTATTCACTGAGATATTACAGTTTAAAGTTGACTCATACAAACGGATAAACTTTTGAAACAACCTAATTTTCTATCTACCGACTAAAACAATAATCAAATTTGATTGAATATGAATAGTAAAATGTCATAACTTAAGCAACCCACTTATATCTAAATATAGGTATATAACTCCAAGATGACTGACTGACTGACATAGTGATCTAACAACGCACAGCCCAAACCACTGGACGGATCAGGCTGAAATTTGGCATGCAGGTAGATGTTATGACGTAGGCATCCGCTAAGAAAGGATTTTGATCAATTCTACCCCTAAGGGGATAAAATAGGGGATGAAAGTTTGTATGAAACTTTGTCAATTTTAAACCGACCGGGCTGAGACTTTGCATGCATAAAGCTACTATAACGTAGGCATCCCCTAAGAAAGGATTTTGATAAATTCCACCCCTAAGGGGATAAAATAAGGTATGATGGAGGATGTAAAAGTATTAGTTCGAACTTGTTAGTACCTAATGGAACGAATAAATTAAGACGAACAAAACAATTTTTAGTTCTAAATGTTGACAATAGATGGCGTTAGTGGCAAAAAAGTTTTGTAGGCCCTAATTTTTTACAGACGCTAAACAAAAGTAAAGCCGCAAAAACTATACCTAAATAATAATAATAATTCTTAACACGAGCGAAGCCGCGGGCAAAAGCTAGTTCATAATATAAATTCACACTGTAGTTTTTATCCTTAGTAAAATTTGAGAAAATTAAACCACATATAGCAAGCGCCAAACGTGATGACGGCCAGTGCCGTACCTATAATTAGTTTTAATTAGGGTAGCAAATGGAAAAATTTCTATTTGTAATTTATTTTCATTTTTTATTAGTATAGGTAGTAGTACAGTTCATAAAATGTTATATAATGATACACTCTTGATGCTTGGTTTTTTGTTAGGCGATGACATTTTTTCAGAAACAACACAAATTATTCAGACAATGCCAAACGCCACAGCATTGGAGGACAAGTAAAGATATGCATCTGCACAGATAATTTGTATGTCGTCCAAGAGCTGTAGTGGGGATTACATTGAAAATGAGTTTGTGCGCATGGGGGCAGGCTCGCCATCACGTTTGGCGCTTGCCGCACTATTCTATAATAATCAATTCTATAATAAACAATTCGTTATGGATTTTCATCAAGTGTCGATCAATCCCATCACATATCTATAATAATGATTTCCTCATAGATGGAAGGTCTTTTGGACTTTCTTGTAGCTATTTTTCGAAAACTCTTGTCAAATATTTGTCAATTATTATCAATAAACTTTACTAGATACTTCAATTTTTGTAGTAGAATATTCACGTTTATAGTTTCCATAATGATCCCTAACGGTATATGAGAACTTGCGTTTTCAATGTTAATCAAAATTTCGCAAAAGTATCACAAAAAAAACGCAAAAAACATTGCGGAATCAACGGGAAAAAAATTGAAGAATCAGAGCAGAATTCAAAACGAGCACATTTTCCCCGCAGACCAGAATTGCAATACTGTTGTCGACTCGCGATTCAACAACAACGTTTTCGTCGTCAGTAGAAATGATAGTTAATGAGTATAGAAAATGTTTACAAAGTTTTATTTTATGTTTTCTTCTTTTCCTTAGGTTTTTTTTGTCTTATACATCCCCAAAGTATGCACCGTATGGGAAAATTATTTATTAAGGGTTTTTCGACAAAAAGTTATTCTAGATTAAAGTTTGTGCATTCGCTAAAACTAAACATGCACTAACAAAATACAGTAAAACACACGTAATATACGAGGGGAATTCAAATATTTGATTTTGAGACAAGAGTAAAGTACCCTTATTTCGGATAATCTCGGGAAATGTTATTTATAAAAGTTGTTCAGCATTAAAAAGTACATCTAGATTTGAAGTCATGGCTATCTGAGTGAAGTTTTATTTTTTCACCAATTTTTTCAAATGACTAGGAAAAAATTGCTTAAACGATAAATAGACAGCATCCTGTATACGACGGTTTATTTCAAAATCCTGTTAACACCACTATTGTGGTGTTAACCACAGTCAATTTTTTTGAAGAGTGAAATAATTTTCAAAGTTTTGGGTGCAAAGTTACTTTTATTTTATGTTAACACCGAAAAGCACTCAAAATTATACAGTATTCTAACAAGAACTTAATATTTAAGAATATTAAATCACAAAACATTTACCGTTAGGTACATCACAAACATTTACAAATAACATTTACCGAAATTATCCAAAATAAGGGTACTTTACTCTTGTCTCAAAATCAAATATTTGAAGGCTCCTCGTATATTACGTGTGTTTTACTGTACTTTGTTCGTCGAAAAACCCTTGATTAATAAGTTTTTCATATGGTGCGTACTTTGGGGGATGACACTGTAACAAAGAGTATCATTTTTTTCATCAATCATGTATACTTTGCTCTGTAAACGGGAAACTGTAAGGTAATGAATGCTATTAGTATTATCACTTTTTTCTGAATTGCTTATGTTAATTAATCGATTTCTGCTTCATTATGAAGCCTCATTTTTTCGTGTTTGAACTCAACCTTTTCATCGCAAACGTTTTTGTTAATATTGTTTCATGGAGGGTTCAATTTTGAGTTTGCTGAAAAAACTTACATGCCACTACAATTTTGATTTCTTCGCTAAGTATTGATCCTATTTTGTTCGCAGCTATACACCTGTAGCTCCCGCCATCTTCTAGTTTCGCCGATATTATTTTGTAAAAAGGATCCGTTGACAATTCCGTTATGGGAAGTCCGTCTTTCAGCCACCTGAATTGCGGCGAAGGGTTGCCTGTAACAAAAAAAATTATAACATTGACAGAACAAAATATTTCAAAGCTATTACTTGATAAAAGAAAAAAAAAAGGTTCGCTAAATTGATGGATGCAGCCGTTATTGTGTGGTAGGAGATCATCATAAAAAATGAGAAATAAAACTTCCAATGTTGTAATACTACTTGTATGTATTTGAAACTAATGTTACTGCAGTTTCGTCCCATAAAACGTGTGCGTCTCAGGACGCCCGACAGAAGTGATAACTTAAACTAATCTAAGTTGAACTATCTGATATTGACATTGTTCATCTTAAAAAAAGCTTAGGTTATTACTTAAATTTTATGTATATGAATATGATAATGTAAGGAAAGGTTATTTAATAATAAAATCTTTTAGTGGTTATCTTGTGTATATACACATATTATAGCTTCCATAAGCCAATTGTTATTTTTCGAGGATTAAATAATGTACATACACAAAATCAATATCATAATTTTTGAGCCACGTTTCACATAACGTGCTTGCTGGTTAGATTTTTGTAATAATCGATGGCTCTCAAGTGAACCAATATGGAATGATTTATCTTTTCATTGAACTACTCCTTACTGCCTACTCCTTAGACTGAACTGTTAAATCTGCGGAGTATGCAGATTGAGACTTTAGAGAGAACTCATGACGAGAACTGTGGAGTAGGCAGATTGAGGCCCCGGCGTCAAGTCACATTAATTTCTTGAAAATGGCGCCAAAATAAGAGCTGAAATGTCGAATAGAAAACTTCAGACGCAGTTCAACCCGAACTCAACGACAACATACTACTGACCGCGGAAACCTAACCGAACATTGATTTCAATTTTAGAGCTGTAGACAGCTGTTTCAGCCTATTGGGCATCGTCAGTACCGGGCAGGCGGTCCTCGATTGAAGACAAAATGTGAATAACCAATATAATAAAGATTATTGAGTGTCTTGATTTGAATATATGAAATGATTTATCGGACATAGCACTCAAAAGCCCGAAACACGCGTAAATATTTTTATCTGTATCATTTCCTGGACCCGGATGTCACGCAGGTAGCTATAGTTGCCTCCGTGCTGATGTTAGTAGTATTCTAGTAAACACAAGATCAATTAAATGGCTTCTGCTGATGACTCTGTGCATTTGTAGTACTTTGGGCAACCAAGTATTGTCCATCCTTGAACTTGGCTGCACCATACTCCTCCATTGCCGCAAAACATCATCCTTTTCCCGTGGGTTGGGCTACGCATCGGGCGCGTCCCCAGGTGGCGGATAAGAGAACGGCCAGGGGACTGGGAGCCCTGTCCGGAAAGCCAATGTGGCCTTACGGACGGGGTCGCCGCACTCCTGGTCAGTGGCAGAAATAAGTAAGGTGAGAGGAACCAAAACTCCCCAAAAGCCTTTGCGAAAAATGCCACCGTAGACCAGCGTACCCAAGCCAAGGTGTAAAGAATCGTGCCGACAGGTGAATGACCGCAGGGTGATATGCGGTTACGAACGATCCGTTTGAGCGACCGGGCGAAACCTCATTGTAATCAGCCTTCCTCTGGTAATGCGTGGCTCTGCCAGAGTGACCAATTCTTCTCCTGCTACCCGTAGGAACACATATGAATGAAACAAACACAAAAACAGACATAGAAAAAACAAAAACCAATCCCGAGGCTGAACAGAAATGCTCACTTCAATCTACCGCTCGGAATGAGGCTGGACGTGGCAGATCACCTCTTGATATAATACAAAGGCCAAGGCGTAAGCGCATTTGCGGCGCCGAGGCCAAAAGGAGAAAGAGGGCGATAGAGGCAGGAGTGGCAGCAACTATAGGTGCACCCTCCTCCTCCCCTACTCCACCTTCAATACCAAGGACACTTTCTGCGGCGGGCGCCAAGAGCTCCGCCTTGACTAAAGGCAAGAAACCGGCTGCCTCTACAGGAAAGCACCCTTACTTGAGCACCTCCACGGAGGAAACCTCAAGAAGGTTGAAGAAGCCGCTGCACCTTCCAAAACCTCCACGAAGGCCGCCGTGAGATACCTCAAGGTTGCCAAAGAGAGTGTGTGTTCGGATATAAAGGAGAGGTCTCCTAGTGACCTGTTCACATTCCTGGAAAGGACAGAATGGACGATAACCTAGGAGGACAACTCCTCGGGTGGATGTACAATGGGTCACATGTGGCCTTTTTCTACAGATAGATACAGATCATCCTTTCATGAGTCTCTTCAATCTTGCATCAAGCAATGACGAGTGAGCAGATGCATTATCGTGATGCAAGAGACATAAATTGTTCTTCCACAATACCAGAAGCTTTTTTCGTATCGATTCTCGCAAGCGGCGCATAACTTCAAGATAATATTCCTTATTGACCGCACGACCGAGTAGGGTTGCTGAGGATTCCTATTCCGCTTCCTCATATTGCGGAAGTTCCGCAATATTTTGGGTTCCTCAACCGTTATCGCATCCTCATGAATAAAAATAAAAAAATCCTCTTCCGCTATCGCTTCCTCAAAATTTGAGAGGAATGTATGAGGAATTTGTTGTTTGTTTTAATTTTATTGACATAGCAAGCGTTGTTTTGTTCATGCGCGTACGCAACTACATACGCAGTGCAAATGATCTAATAATTTGATTTTTGTTATCGAAAATCGAAATGAACTGTATCTAGTTATGTACAGAGTAGTACAGACAGGACAGCGGCTTTTGGGTTGGGTCCGCTAGTATTTATAATGTCCTATCATCGTCTTCCTCATCCGCTTCGTCTTCCGCTTCTTCATCCTGCATCCTCTTCCTCAAAAAATGTCCTATTCCTCATCCGCATCCTCTAAATTTGCGCGTGACATTTCCTCTTCCTCCTCCTCCTCTTCCTCATAATCACTTCTTCAACAACCCTACGACCAAGTTGAACGAACTCCTGATGCATTACGCCACGGTAATCGAAGAAAACAGTGGGTGGGCAAAACCTTGACATTTGATCGAACTTGGCTCTCCTGGGCTCTTCCATTGGGACGATTGGAATTTGGTTTCGATGTCATAACTATACATACCCATGATTCGTCACCAGTTATGACCCTTTTAAGCAAATCTGGATGGTCATTGATGTCATTCAACAATTCCTAAACGATGATCATGCTCAGCAACTTCTTCAATAGTGATTCGACGATTCTCCATAACAATTTTCTTCACTTTCTTAACATTCTCATCGGTTATCGATGTGCTGGAGCGTACAGGGCGAGCGTCGTCATTCACATCTTCTCGAAAAGCCTGTAACGCTTGCAAACATTTTTCTGACTCAGAGGACAATCACCGTATGCCACTGTCAATATTTCAAGTGTTTAAAAGCACCTAATTCCATTTTTACACAAAATTTGATGCAATTTATTTGATAAATTTTTTCGATAGCAGAAAATCGCCGAACATGCAAAACACTTCGAACTTTTATGCCTCTCACTAAAAAAACTGAACATGCTAAACAGCTGAAACTGTAAATATATGTTCGAGACGGGTGTACCAACATAAAAAACGCTAACTGCTAAAGTAACGAGTTACTGATAAATAGAAGATTATTCTTTGTGAAAAATACTAACTTTGTGAAAAATACAAACTAAAAAGTTTGCCCTTCTACACTTCTATAAAGTTCTCCATTATAATTTTTATATTTTTCAAATTGTGGAAGGTAACAAACACCCAAAAAATTTGTGTTCTATTATGATTAAATACTCTACATCTACAACCCGTAGAAATCGAAAAAATGAATAGGTTCAAATACGCTAAGCTTTACTATGAAGAAATATTCGAACCCAATTTTCACTTATTCACTTTTTTCTTCAAAATAATTGCACAATAATCAGAATACTTCAATTAAATTCCACCAAATAGAGTCTTATCGATTGTTTTCCATTAACTTCCGCCGGGAGGTAAGTCTACATAATAAATGTTTAATTTGATTCGACATCACGTAGAAACAAATGTGACATGGAATTGAAAACGGAACGATAGATATTGAGGTTGGTATACTTTGCGTGTTCTTCGAAATAATCAGAGCAGTTTGTAGAACAATGCGAAAAAAAGTTAATTTGAAACGATTATTCATTCTGCCAGTTTCTCAAACGGCTTAATGTGGAATGTTCTAAGGGAGGAATGTTTACAGGAAATATTGCGATGTTCATTAAAAGCAGGAATTTATAAAACAGAATAAGAAACTCTTGCGTTCGATATATTTTAAAAAATCCCTGAAGTAGTTTATAGACCAGCATGTATTTCACAATCTTGATGAATACTTTTCAGCCCTTTTTTTCATTCAATTGCGAAACCTTGTACAAATCTATACGAAACTACCTGTATAATTGTTTGATTAACTCGCTACTACTGTTTGTTTGAAGATGATTGACAATGTTTCATGATGAATTTCACTAGTTCGGACTTCCATTGTCTAATATATAAAATGATTTGAAATCCCTGAAACAACTAAAAACGTACCATTCTTAGACGTTTTGGTGAAGAGGACCGGCACTAAGTGGGATACATCTGTTTACCGAAAACCCACTGACACAGGGCAGTATCTGAACCACGAATCCAACCACCATCAATCGACTAAGAGAGGAATCATCATGACTCTACAAGACCGTGCTTTCGGGATCTGTAATACAAAGGAAGGTCTCGAGAAGGAACTAGACATCATCAAAAATGATCTTCAACGGAATAGCTACTTCAAAGCGATGGTAGAAAAGATTTTGGCTGAAAGACAGTAGGAGCCTAGCAACGAAGAGAAGCCATCACAACTAGTGCTTGCACTTCCCTATATCAGAGGATTATCGGAAGGATAAGCAGAATTGGTTCCAAGTACAACATCAGAACCTGTGTCAGATCTGGTAACATCATCCGTAGCAGCCTCACGAAAACCAGGCCACCAAACGCTGACTACGATTCCAAGAATTGCATTTACCGGGTACCCTGT